TCCGAAAAGATATAAAAAACGGTTGTTATTCGTGTTAGTGAACTTGGTGCTATGTATTTTAGAGCCAATTATGATGGTGCAGCGGCTGAGGAATCAGTGGTTTTGGCAGCTCGCTGAATTGCCTAACTAACTTCCCTTTAATTTTTTTTATTAATACTTTCATTTAAGTAATTACGATGTGTAAGCTGTCGCGTGCTTAATGGTGTGTATTCCTTACTTTCGTTAGCTCAACAACAGAAATTGATGTTGAGAATATGGTTTTTTTTAACCAAAGTTAAACTTTTACAGACATTTCCGAAAAGACATACATATGTATGTATGAAAAAAAGGTTTCAGCTTTGTAATATAAAAAGATTTGCTTATTCTAGACTCGTATAATAAGTCTTATTTGAAGCTGCTCAAAAGCAACATAATGATTAAAAATCATTTATTTTCGTTTTGTTACAGGAAAATCAGTTACCCTTGGATCGCTCATAGCGAGCGTACCAAAGATGATTATAAGAAAATAAAGGTTAATGAAATTTATATGAGTAGTGACATGACCAAAGTTGCACTCTACCTTTTCTTTAAGTAAATACATGTAATGTTTTTATTAATTTTTAGTAAAAATTACATTTACAAAAACATAATGTGAAGGAAATCTTTATGACTCATTTTAAATTTTTAGAATATGTTAGATGGTTTTTTTCCAAATTCTTAATATATTCTAGTTAAACCAATATTGTTTAAAATAAACTAAAAAAACAGAAGATTCCGTATATATTATTTTTATTATTATCAAAAGTCTATTTAGTTAAGTTGAAGATCAAACTATGATAGTCAGCGTTCTATTTAAAGCATTTCGGGCATTGCTTTGGTATCTTGAGTCTAATGTAATTTAAGCAATTTTCTATCAGATCCCTAGTTTTTACAATACACAACCGAATTAAATTAAATCCAAAGAAAAAGATTGGACATGGATTAGTTAAATTTAATATACAATACTATACCTGGTGTAAATAAGTCGCATTATAAATAGAACAAGAAACGTTATAGTCGAATGCCGCGACTATAAGATACCCGTTACTGTTTTATGCAATTTTTAAATATTAATTTTGCTAGTGGAAACTCACAAGGCGCCACCTATTGTCAGAGAAACTATGTTGAGTGACAGTGACTGACAGTGACGTCACTGCCCAACCTTATAAAAATCTTTGGTAAATCGATAGATATTAACAGAAATAAGTTATACAAGGTTAAACGAAGGCATTCCCAATAATATTATAGACGCCACAGTTTTCAGCGATTTGTGGGCGTTCCCGGATGAAAACTTGTGACAAGTTTCAGTGGCATTTTTAAAATACGTGTTCTTAAGCCTAACTTTCTAGCTTTTATAGGTCCCAAGATTTTTACATTTTAGGTTTCCGAATTTTGTGGGCGTTAGGGTGGGCGTGTACATGCTTAATCCGAACTCTCTATCATTTATAAACTTTATAGAGTCGGAAACGCTTCTTTCTACCTGTTATATATTTTTCAACGAATCTAGTATACCTTTTTATTCTACGAGTAACGGGTATAAAAATAAGAATGCCTAAATAATAATTGTAATACATGAAAGATTCGAAGAACAACTTATCGCGACTCTTTAAACTTATTACCTGGTGTAAAAACTAAATTAGACAAGATTTTAATTTACTTTTTATTAATATGATTGCATCACCAGATAAGTTGTATATGTCAAACCCTTAATGTTCAGAATATAGTTTACAAGAGCACTTTGGCAACTGCTACCCTGCGAAACTATAAAGAACAGCATTTCATGCAGTTTAAATTTGTTTTCCATTGCTTCCCATATTCCTTTTTAAATGGCCGCTTTCGTTTAGTTTTTGGAAATACTGTTTTTATTCAACATAAATTTTGTTTAAAAGTAATTTTTCTTGCATTTCGTATTTCATGTAATGTATATAGTACTCGATGTTATATAATAACGCATATGCTATTTGTAATTGTTTGCTAAATTTGTAGTTATTCATCATATTTGAACAATTTCAATTTAATTGGTAACGGTTAGAAAATGAGCCTGAAGAATACACTATGAACAATGGCGTACATGCAAATACAATGTTCAAATTAGCTGTGTTCCTGCGTGTTAGTCGTGTTTATGAACTTGGAGTTATTTTAGAGCCTGATGTAATGGTGCAGCGGCGGAGGAATCAGTGGCAGTTTGGCAGCCCCTAAATTGCCTAACTAATTTCCTTTTAATTTTTTTTATATTAATATTTTCATTTAAGTAATTATGATGTGTAAGCTGAACTTAAGGGTCAACAAATTTAGCTACTTGGGCTTCTTGGCAATACTTCTTCGTCGTGACTGCGGTGTATTATTGTGTGTAGTGTGTCGCGTGCTTAATAGTGTGTATTCCTTATTTTCATTAGCTCAACAACAGACATTGATGTTTTTCGGGGCATTTAATGAGCCAGTGGCAGTTGTACACGCGTCCGTTGCCCTCGAAGCAGCGAAATTAGTCTCTGAAATCCATTTCGGTATTTCGGCGGACAACAATGCTGAGTGGCCACATGCGCAGACTATCAGCGGCTCGTAAAGGGACCATTCACTACCGTTGTTCCTCCTATTCACTGCACTTGATAATTACAAACATAAACGACATAGACATATAAAACTTCAACAAAGACTACGGACGATAAAAATTAATGTACAAAAAGACAACGCAAAAAGAGGGCAAAATTGAAAACAAAATTCTTGGACAGGAATGTATGCAAAATTTTAAAGTGTATGTATACAATATAAGCACATGCACCTACTGCTCAGAAATATGTGCATATGTAAAAAAAAACGAACAAACTTTAACAAACTCGTATTATGCTTTCGTATGCTCCTAGGATCGTGTCCTCTAAACTATATAGTAAGTATTGGCATACAAACATATATATCGGAGTGTATATATGTGGGGGTAGTGTGGGTATTATAACTGTTGCATACACAAGGACAGAAATGTTCTTGTTTGTTTCAGTTACACTATACAAAGACAACGGCAAAAAGTATTTTAAAATCGAATATAATCCTAGCTGTTGCCCGACTGCCAAAGATGAGTTTACTTGGATTCAATATTTAGTGGGTGGAGCTTCTGTTGTATTAACTTTAACTGTTCCTGCTGGATAGGTTTTGATGCTGGTTCTCTTTCTGATTAGTTATGATTTGTTTTGCACTTAAAGAATTTAGTCGGTGAATTTACGATTGACGTTGCGGCCAAACAGGGCGTTACGAATTTCGGGCACCAGCTGCTGCGAAATGAGCTCTAATCTGGACTCCAGTGTGTTGGGCACCTAAAGGGATAATACAGTTTTATTAAGGGCGCATTTGTACCATTGCTCTGGTTAGTACGAACCTTGATGCGTCCGTTCAGAGCCAGTAGCTCAACACCACCGCAGGTATCAGCAGAGAGGAAGTCTTTCTCGTCAATGAACAGATCGACGTTCTGTTGGATCTTAGCCTTGTACTGCTCAACAGCACTGGGCAGGACGTCACGCACCAGAGGCACATCGACCTCGCGGCAGCGCAGGATCACCTTGGGCTCCATGACCTGGAACAGGCCCTGGACGATGAGCTTGGTCAGCACAGTCTGGTACTCCGACTGGTTCTTGGTGACCTCGCCGAGACGCTTGCGGGCATCGTCAAGTACGCTGCTCACATGGTCTTCGCGCACTTTCAACACCTAAACAAATTTTCAAAATGAGTGGGGTTTTCAGGTACCAGCTAGCAGACACCAACCTTGAGGCGAGCCTGGTTAAGCATATTGGAAGACTGGATCTTCTTTTGCAGCTCAACCTGCTTCTCCTTCTTCTCGTAGTACTCCATGATCTTAAGGCGCTGCTGCTGGACCAGGCGTCCCTTCTCGATGTTGAACTCCTCCTCGGCCTTGGCGTCGATCTCCTCGGCTTTTTCATTGGCCTCCTGCTCAATGAACGCCATCATGTGTTTGATCTAAAAAAAATCGTCCTTTAATATTAACCCCTTTTGTCACATGATTACTGCATTGGATGGGATGGAAAGCCTCTATTTATTTTCGTTTAAGATTTGATAACGTAAGGGGTTTGCTGGTCGTGTGACAGAGAGTGCGAGTGCGGGGGCACAATGCTAGTCGTCTCGCTCTAACACATTGGGCCATTGCGGGGGCCGTGTCACATGACCAGCACCAATTTTTTACTCAAAGTTTTTGGGCAAATACCTTGCGGATCCCCTAATAACCAACAAATTTTCTGAATCTCCAGTAATACTTGGTTAATTTAGGCCATTTAATATGAGGATCTAATAAGACTGGATGTAAAAAGTTCACATGACTTGGGGGACATATCAGATCTCATGACTTCGCCATTTTTTTTGAAGAGACAAACTTTGGAGTTTTAAGTAATTTTATATCCATTACGCCCCAGTACGACCTTCGTCGTTTTCCCGGTCCCAATTACCTGCTTCTGTACATCAGCATCGCTCAGTGCCATCTTGACTGATTTTTCTCACTTGCACAAACCGAACCGAAAGGAAATTCAAGTGTTTCGAAGAAGTCCACGTACAACCGTGCCTGCAATAATTACAAAAATAATCTAATAAATTAAGAGCCGAGTTGAGTTGGAAACTGCGGGGCAACACGAGGAAATTGGAAAACGATAAGTTACTTTTGCCTTCTGCCCAACGTCTGAAAATTTTCACTGCAAATCGATCATATGATTTCACGGGTAGTGTTACCCTGCGCTTACCAGGTTGAAAATATGTATTTGTGGTGGGCAGAGATGACACACTATCGATAGTACCGATAAGTACCCAATAATTAAAAATAAGTTCTCATTTGTTATAACTTTTTGCGGAAATGCAGCTTTAAACTCGATAGTGTATACTAATACTGCCGTAAGTTTTTTTTTCTTTCCGACAATTGGGAAAAACCCAACATATATGGTCGGTGTGAACATTTCGCAACAAGAGTACGCATTGCTGTGTAAACACCAGAACGAAGGGTGTATAACACCATACCACAAATATTGTTTGCAGCCCTACTTCGTGGTGACTGACTGTTTTTATGTACACACGCTAACTGAAGAAACTTTTTGTTTTCCGTCGGGAGTTTGCTTAATAAAAGGCTTTCCATTTAAGTTTTGCTTCTATTAAAACCTCGCCGTTGAGAGCCATGGAGACTCTCCTGGAGCAACAACGACGCTACCATGAGGAACGTGAGCGCCTAGTCAAACTAATGGTGGACGAGCATGCGACCAAGAAGCCGGGCGAAAAAGAGCGCATCCATTCGGAACACCGACTGAAGTACCTAATGGAACTCCACCACAATGCCACGTCGCAGCTGCGCGACCTCTACGAGGATAAGGACAATGAGCGGAAGGCAGAAATCGCGGCACTTTCAGGACCCAACGAGTTCAATGAATTCTACGCCCGCCTTAAGCAAATAAAGCAATTTTACAAATCGCATCCCGCGGAGGTCAGCGTGCCGTTGTCCGTTGAGTTCGACGAGATGATCCGAGTGTACAACAACCCAGACGACATGAGCGCTCTGGTTGAGTTCACGGATGAGGAGGGCGGCGGTCGGTATCTGGACCTTAACGAGTGTTATGAGCTTTACCTAAACTTGAGGTCAGTGGAGAAGCTGGACTATATTACTTACTTGATGTCCTTCGACCACGTTTTCGACATTCCGCGTGAACGTAAGAATCGCGAGTATCGCAAGTACATAGAGACCCTCAACGACTACCTGCACCATTTCATCCTGCGCATTCAGCCCCTTCTCGACTTGGAGGGGGAGTTGCTGAAGGTGGAGCTTGACTTTCAGCGTCAGTGGCTACTAGGCACATTCCCCGGCTTCTCGCTCAAGGAGACGGAGTCGGCTCTAGCAAACACAGGCGCCCACCTTGATCTGTCCGCCTTCTCCAGCTGGGAGGAGCTAGCCTCGTTGGGATTGGATCGTCTAAAGTCGGCACTGGTGGCCCTGGGACTTAAGTGCGGTGGCACCCTGGAGGAGCGCGCCCAGCGCCTATTCTCCACTAAGGGGAAGAGCACACTTGATCCCGCCCTGATGGCTAAGAAGCCTAGCGCCAAGTCTGCCAGCGCGCAGACACGAGAGAACGAGCGCCACAAGGAAATCGCCCAGTTGGAAGCGCTGCTCTATAAGTATGCGGAACTTTTATCAGAGCAGAGAGCGGCTACTAAGGAGAATGTGCAGCGAAAGCAGGCTCGAACTGGTGGTGAGCGGGACGACAGCGATGTCGAGGCCAGCGAATCAGACAACGACGACGACCCTGATGCGGATGACGTTCCTTACAACCCAAAGAATCTGCCGCTCGGATGGGATGGCAAACCAATTCCCTACTGGCTTTACAAGCTGCACGGCCTGAACATCAGCTACAACTGCGAGATCTGTGGAAACTTCACCTATAAGGGCCCAAAGGCCTTTCAACGTCATTTTGCAGAATGGCGCCATGCTCACGGCATGCGTTGCCTGGGCATCCCAAACACCGCCCACTTCGCCAATGTCACTCAGATCGAGGACGCCATCACGCTATGGGAAAAGCTTAAGTCGCAGAAACAGAGCGAGCGCTGGATCGCCGACCAGGAGGAAGAGTTCGAGGACTCGCTGGGAAACGTGGTCAACCGAAAGACTTTCGAGGATCTAAAACGCCAGGGACTGCTCTAGAGAATCGATTTATGAGTTGCTTAAAAACCGGTCAATCTTATGCTGGGCTTAGATATTTTTAAATTTTGATGATCATTATCAGATCATAATCAGATTTGTTGACAACAACAGTGGTTTAATAAAATCATTCATTTATTTCGTGTCACAAAATGGAATTTGCAATTTGTTTCTACTTATGCAAAGTAAGAAAGGTTTAATTAATCTAATATTGTCGTACGATTCGTTTTTAAATTAAACGATCATCGTAGTATAATGATAACATAAAATAAACAAATTTATATTAAGCTTTTCTGTTAAATAGAAACGTGCGATTATCCATGAATAACTGCCTCCATTCTCAATCCCAAATTCGCCATTGTTGTTAAAGGTAAGAGGGAAGCAGTTCCTGGCGGCAACTGTGATTCCGGATTATAAGCCTGAATCCAGGGAAACTCCTGGTACTGAGCCTCGTGACTAAGGCGGATGAATGCCTCCTGGGTGGTGTGTAGGTGGATTTTAAAGTGGCACCTTCCTGCAGCAGGTTTGGGAATCTGATTCAACCTTTCAGATATTTTGTAGATAGCACTACGCAGTTGTTGCTCGGAATGCAATAAGCAATCTTCCGCTGATTGTCCATCTTCCTTCTGGTTCCCAGTGTGATTTTGTAGATCTCACTTTTCTTACTATCATCATGATAAACTATAATCTCTAGGCACTGCAGCTCCCGGCGGCAAATCAGTTCCTGAGCGGATCTAAGAACACCGGCCAGGTAATTATTAAGCGGTGGGAAAATGGATATAAAGACCGGAGTGTTATACACCCGCTTTTTTTTAAATATGTGCGAGGGGTAAACACCACGCCCGTATAAAATGTGGTTAATTAGTACCTCCATCGCCTCCACAATTACGTCGTCCTGGATCTCCACCTGCATTTTCGAGAAAATATAAAAACAATACACAAAATGACCTTTATTCTTGTTTTTTATTAAAACGATTGCCAGGGATCGACAACGTTAGTGGTGGGTACTGCTGCCAATTTAGCTTTTTTCTCGTCAAAACAGGCTTTTTTTGAAGGCTAACCGCGGGAAAAATTCATGAATTGGGGGAAGTGGGAATTCTGTCTTTTTTGAAATTCATTTGGATTTATTGTGGAAGCGGGGAAGCGACCTTTTTTTTCATCTTTTTTTTGGTCGTCTGTAATGAAGTAGTCGAAAGGAATTGGTGTTCCGTAGGATTTTTATTCTGTTGACCCTTTTTTTGTTTTCGTCATCTCCAATTGGCCTATCCTATGTTTTTTGTGGACTTTTAAAATATTTTTTTTTTCTTATTTTCTCCACACTTCCCGCCAAAACTGCTTTTTTTACTGGTCAAAAGTTGGCACCACTGGTGTTAGGTGTATTATAATAGAGAGTATCTGTTCAGGAATACATTAAGTTCTGAAAATATTCGGATTCAAACCTGACATCATGGTTTAGGCCAGAAAAGTTTGAATCGAATCTTTGGGCTTGGGTGCATTTGATGTTATTTTTATAATGTTATGTTTTTTTTGTTAAAACAGAGCATTTTATAACAATTAGTTTGCTGATCAGCGTTGATATGCAAAAATCTTAGTTACATAATATATTCTTAGCTATAGCAACTGCACATTCAAAATACCTTAAATCTTTAAATGAACTTTGTTCATTATAATAAAAATAAACAAATTTCATGTATTGTCTCTTTTTGAAACATAATTATTTTTTAGAATTGTGACCATAGACGAATTTTCCATGAGGAAACAATTATTAATTACTATAAAATGATTGTAAAAAACAACGAAATTCTAAAAACCAAGTCGTTTTGAAATATCACACCAATTACTATTCGTTTTCCTTGACTCGATTTTTACAAAATGCTTCACTGTGCCTATCGCCGTTAGCGGTGCATCAGCCGTGGTAACGAACTATCGAAGGCACTAGCTAGCCATTTTCCCACCTCTAGCTGAAAAAATGGCTGAAATCCAAGTATGTGTGTGAAGGAAACTGTGTGAGAAAAAATATCGTTTGCTACCAATTTGGAAATAACTTCGTTTTGTCGAAACAATCGGAATCCTTTATCCACCGGTCGACGCAGCTGTCATTTTCACGATTTTCGAGAGAGGAGCTAAAGATACCCTTTTCGGAGCTCCCAAAAATTGACAATTGATGCCACTCGGAAATCGGCACTCTTCACTCATAGCGGCCTGCAATTACAGAGAAGCCAGACCAAAAAGCAGCCTTACAGACTACAGCTGGCTATTCTATCGAAAATGTGGTTACCAGGCCAAGAGCAGAACCTACCAGGAGAGGATAACTAGACAAAAATTCGGCTAAGAGCACTCCCTATATGTAATATATATGTAATACACACGCGCCTGCCCCGCCGACAGTGTACACACATCAATATATCGGCTTGATACACACATACGCAGTTGCATCAGCATGTCTGACCGTGATTCTGATTCCGAGTCCGACGCTGGCTCGCCCGTGAGTCACCAACGGATGCAGAGGAACCGTCGCGTTATCATGCGTATCGAGTTCAAGGACTCAGACGACACGGCCTCAGATCCTGACCTGGACGAGCTTCCTTCCTGCTCCACCACGACGGGGAGGCGGCGAAGCGCCCGCCTACAGGATGTGGATTCCGATTCAGACGAGATGCCCCGGAAGTTTACACGAAGGTTGCGGAGTCGCCATGGTCCGATGAGCGACTGTTCTTCCAGCGGAAGCGAGGTAAGGCAGTGCACCTTCACTTACCAGTTCCTCAAATGTGGTTGCTGAATGCCAGCATCGTTCTAAAATGTATCTTAATATTATATTCCAGATAAATCAACGGTCCGCGCGCATCAGTAAGCGAAAGAAGGTAGAGTCCTACGACGAGGAGGAGCAAGAGCCGGCGCTCAGCGATGATATTAGACTTCAATCCACGCCTGTTGATCCCGATCCTGGTTTCAGTTCCGACAGCAGCAGCAACGATATGCTGGAGAAGTGCCCGATTTGCTTGCTCACATTTAGGCAGCAGGAAATCGGCACGCCAGCTACCTGTGAGCACATTTTCTGTGCGGCCTGCATTGACGCCTGGTCCCGAAATGTTCAGACCTGTCCCATTGACCGCATCGCATTTGACCGGATTGTGGTACGAAACTCCTTTGCCAGTCGGAAGGTGGTGAGGGAAGTGCGAGTAGACTTGAGCAAGTCCAAGACCGAACTGGCACTGGAAGACGAGGCAGAGAGTACCGTTGCTTCCGAAGAAGAGATCACAAACTGCGAGATCTGCGAAAGTCCGGACCGGGAGGATGTAATGCTACTGTGCGATAGCTGTAATCATGGGTATCACATGGACTGCCTGGACCCACCGCTGCACGAGATTCCTGCAGGATCCTGGTACTGCGATAATTGCATAGACAGCGAAGGCGAGGATGCCGATGAGCAGCTGGAGCTGGCCGACGACTTAAATCAGCTGTATGAGGATATTCGGGGAATGGGCTTGCCGGAGACTCGTCTTAGGGTGCGGGAGGTGCAGCAACCTCCAAGAATCTTGCGCACCCGTCAAAACGAGCGTATCAGGGCGGCAGTACTGCGACGCACTCAATCTGGCGCTGCCTCGGTTGAAGATTCCACTCTGACTCGAACTCGTACCCGCACTACTACAACAACCACAACTACTACAACAACTACAAGGCGCACAACCACTAGTACCAATAAGAGGCCTGTTAAACGTCGCCGACGAAGGAGAACTCGCCATCGCACCTACGTCGTTGAGTATGACTTAAACAACTTTGACGAAAAGTTTGCCCTAAAAACTAGCAGAAAAGTGATCCGGCGCCGACGACGTCGTCGACGTCGTGTTGTGGCACCTGCCTCCGGTGAAGGCCCAAGTCGTCGTCTCACTGCCAGCAAGAGGCTGGCGGAGCAGATGGGAGTAAAAACGGACGGAGTGCAGCGTTCTCATCTCAGTGGTGGAACTGCATCCAGCTTTTCACTCTTTGGGAACGCCAACGACCTGGAATATTTCTCGGACAGTGATCCAGATGTTGAAGGCAATGTCGCTTCTGCGGAACTTGGATCAACTGCCATCCAAACCTCCGTGCGTATTGCTAGCATAGGAGCGCCGCGTATTCGTAAGGCGTTGCTCCAAGGCAAAGCACGCATAGCAGCTGCTCCTTCTGGTCCTGCTTCATCTGCAGACATATTGTCTAGCATTTTGGATCTGCAAGATCGTTGGCACGACGCTTCGCGTAACCTGGGTGATGTGCACATTAGAGCAGATGGTACCCTTAATCTCCCACAGAGACCTGCGCTAGCAGCTACCCCAGCAAATTCGCCGGCTATAGCTACTTCAAAACCCGAGGAGCACTTAACCCATGCGCCACTTTATCAGCGCGGAGGAGGCCCAAACTATAATAGAGGTGGATCGTCCGGCTCAGGCGACAACTATAACAATCGCTACAGCGGCAATAACAGCTACAGGGGAGGTGGTGGCGGCGGTGGCGCAGTTTCCAATAGTGGCGACGGAGCACCTAGCAGCAGCGGAGGAGTGTCCTCGCACCAATCTTCTCTTGGCGGCGATCAACACGGGGGCGGCGGTTTCAGTAATCAGAACTTTAACAGCTCCAGCACCAACATCAACAGCAACACAAACGTATCAAGCTTTACACCCTTCCACCTGCGCTTCAACACGCCCACCCGCCAGCAGCAACAACGCCAGCCAATCGTGCCTTCTGCCAATCAACCCACGGCGCCAACTTTTGGTGGAAGTGCACCGCCCCCAGTACCGGTGGCATCGTCGTCAAACTGTTTTCCAGGACAGCCCCCGATGTTCGCACCTCCTGTAAATCATCATGCGGCTGCAGTAATGAATATGCCAGTTGTGCTATCAATACCACCACCGCCCATGCCCCCCGCCAGCCTTCCTTGGAACAACCCGCTTTTTAAGATAAATACGTTGCAGCAATCCGCATTGAAAGCCAGCGAACGAAAAAAAGATGATGATGACAATTGTCCCAACTTCTCAATTTACTCTCAGGAGTCGCAGGCAGTTGCTAGTGCGTCTGCAATGACGTCTGGAGTTGTACAGGGACCAGCGGATTCGTCTGATAAGGTATGATATTAATATAGATATCTGTTAAAGAAGTGGAATTAGGAAATATGACTCGTACGAACTATAAAGGTATTATTTTGGAAGCATATTGATTTTAATATTGAAAGATATTAGACCTCCATTTACATGAAATATAATTAAATGTGTTAAAATGAAAAATAGACAGTAGTAGGAGAGTATAGAGTCGTATATTCCTTATTCGATGTCAAGTACTGCGACTACCAGATACCCGATAATTATGTGACAAGAAATAGACGCCTTGACTAGAGTAACTTGTTTTTATAGTTTAAATCTACCTACCAATTGACAATGAATAATATGCTTAATCATCCTAACTTTCTAGCTAAGAGCTGAGATCTCAGAATTTTTATTTTCCTTTTGTCTGTAGACGAAAGATAAAGACTTTGTTATTGATCCAAATCCAGAATATATTTTATAGGGTTGGAAACGCTTCCTTTTACCTGTTACGCGTAACTTACAATGAATATATTATACACTTTAAGAAAGGGTATAAAAAGTACCCTAAATACAAGTTTGATGAATTAGGTGAAAATACAAGTCAAAAGCGAAGGCTTTATTTTCATGATTATTATTTGATAAACTTTTTTGGTCACATAATTTTAATTTTTATTTTATGGAAATTAAATGGATTTTATCTAGAGTAATGATCTTAGAATGTTATTAATAGCAAAGCAATGTTTTTCTGATATCCTTTCAAGCTCTACGGCTTTGCTATTAATAACATTCCTAGATCATTACTCTAGATTAAAAATATTCAATTTCCATAAAATTAAAATTAAAATTTTAGATGTGTATTACATTTTTTCATTTATTTAGACGGTATTAGACGGCTCTACTAACCAAATTTGTTGCTTACTTCTTTTCCACTTTCTAAATCGTTTAAATTTGGATAGGATGATGACGACATGAATGAAGATTTAGTACAATTAGATGATGATGACGAGGAAAACGAGATACCATTGCCACTGGGGCCGGAGCCCGAGTACGTTCCAGAAAGAGTCAATGAGCTGTACGAGCCAGAAAACCCAACTGATGAACCGGATGACCAAGAAATAGTCGACAAGTCCTGTGATGGTGTACCCATTAAAGAGTCCCAGCATGAGCCAGACGAAATTGCACCAATTTCAGAGGATCTCGACGATAGAGTGGATAAAATTCGTAGCACTCCTAGCCCATTGGTTAAGGATGACCGAGTAGCTGATCGAGACCGTGGCAAGGGCGTATTGGAGTTATATGATGATAGTGACTGGGAGGAGTTAGACATCGACAAACCGAAGGAATTTGAAAAGGCGCTTGGTACGGAAATTACAGCCCAAGCCAGCCCCAAGTCCGCGACATCTAAAAAGTCGCGTTCTAGTAAAGATTCAGATGAGGGAAAGGACGACAAAGGTAGTGACAGTGAGCACGAACCGGACCGTTCCTACACGCCCTGCCTAGATGAAAAGAATCTGGCGGAGGATGAGGAAGTGACGGCTGGTGTATCACATCAGAATGAGGGCAGCACCAGTCCCAAGACTGGCTCCTCAAAGGCTTCCGATGATGAACTTGAGAGAGAGCAAGCTGTCGGTACGGATATTGTATCTGAGGATGATTTGACCAATGAGCACGGGCCAAAGCGCCGCAGTCGAAGCCGTGGTGGAGCGGCCAGCGACGGAAAGTCGAAGTCGCGTTCAAAACGAAACAAGAACGAAACTTTTAAGAAGGTAGGGAAAAGACAGAAGGATCGCAACTATCGTGGCGAAAAAGCGGAGCCACAAATGAGTTCTCGTTCGGGGTCTAGAAGTCGCACTCCAAAGATCCGTTCGGAGAGCCAAGGAGGAAGCAAGAGCGTCAGTCGTAGTAGGAGTAGAAGTAAGAGCAGAAGTCGTTCACCTAGTCGAAGTAGAAACAGGCGTCGACGTGGCAGCCGCTCCAAATCCTACTCCCGCTCTGCTTCAAGGACTCGATCGCGTTCGAACTCATATAGCCGCCAGAGATATGCCTTCAGGGGACGGGACTTCCAGCGTGGATTCATACGTGGCCGTGGAGGCCTGCGTTTCAACTTCCGAAACCAACAGTTCCACAATAGGCCGTTCCAGCACTACGGCCACAATTACCACCAAAACTACCACCACCAACCAAATTACTTTCATTATAACCATGGTCCGAACCAGCAGTTTTTCCAGCGTCCCAAACGAAGAGAGCTACCTCGATATGATGTTCGGAATGTGGTGGGTGCATCGAGAAATCAACACTTCGCCAAGGATCGTTATGGGCGTGACGCATTGCGGTCGGGCAGAAGTCGTTCAAGAAGGCGCAACTCGCGTAGTTTCTCGCGAAGTGTTTCTCGAGAATCAAGAGGTTCCTTGCACTCTCGTTCTGGTTCCCCAAGGCGGCCCCGCAGCTTTAGCATTTCACCAACGCCACCGCCAGGTACTTCGCCTTCTCCGCATAAACAAAGAGGGGGTCGTCGTTCGTCGCCGGCAAGACGCTATGCCCGCTCGCCTTCACCGCCACAGCCTCCTTTAAATGAAAGGGTTCATAGTCCAGCGTCAGTTCATTCTAGAAGTTCACGCTCGCGCACACCCAACCGCATTAACGGAGGTAATAGATCTCCTCCATATCCTGGCTCCCCGCGTTACACCCCACGGATGAGTCGAAGTAGGAGCAGAAGTCGTTCCAAAAGTCCTAAAAATGCGCCCAAGAAGAAGAAGAAGAAGTCTGATAAAAAGAAAAAGAACAAAAAGAGAACAGGAAGCAGCAGTCCGACTACGGCTGCACGAATGCGCCGAATCTCGCGACAACGTGATCCTTTCGAGGATGCTGACGACTTTTTGGCGCCGCAGAGAAAACGAAAAAAAGGAGGTATGCCAACTGGTCAGTGGTCTCCATCGCCTTCACCCGGCCGCTGTGATTTCCTGCATGACGGAGCCTGCCAGGACAAAAATCCATCTTGGACACCGCCGCTGGAATCACCAAAAGGTCCAGTCGCTCATTACGATAATGATGGTGGGCTGACGCCCAAGAAGGCGAAACGCAAACGAGATAAAAGCAAAAAGAAGAAGAAACAGCATCCACTAGAGAAGCAACGGAAGGAGAAAAAGCGCAAGCGTCGTACTCAGACGCCAGAGCCCCTGCCCTCCAAAGAGGTGTTCGCTTCAGGCAACAACATTCTGGTGAGCGTGAGCTTCAACAAAGAGGCGACCACCAACAATGCGACTTCCTCACTAGGTTCCCAACAGCAGTCGATAATCACATTACCATCTGGCAGAGAGGATTTAATGAGCACTCGAGTGGCTTCCATTGATCGCCTGAATAACAGTATTCTTAGCAGTGCTGTGGGAGCCATTAAAATGGGAAAGCGCAAGCGCAAGAAGCTGGAGGCTAAGCCGGTGGCAATCATTGATCTTGAACGCTCGCCCTTCCAAGTTCACCAAGAGCCTGCAGATGTCATTGTGCTTACAGACAGTGAAGATGCGGCAGACCAACTTTCTACGAGAAGAGAAAGGGATCACGATATGAGGGAAAACGGACAAAGGGAAGAAATCCCACAGGTTGGATCATTGGACACAATCATGGAGACCTCGTATGAAAACATGACGCAGACAACGGGACCCAAGACGCCTCCCGAGCCTCCTCTCGTCAAGTTCAACCTGCCCTCGAAAAAGATGCAGCACAAGGTGCGCAGCAATCCGCTTCATGATGATGCTGATGATATTAATTCTGCAGATGAGCTAGAGACAGCCGGTTCTATGGCTCTCGAGGGACAGACGCCACAGCATGGTCATGGATCCCATGATGGAGGCCAAAAGATTGGTCCAAATACACCTCCAGAGTCTGGACCATGCTCGCCAGATGCCTACGATCCTTTCGAGCCTACCAAATCGCCCTCAATGTCACCACGATCTCCGACTCCAACTCCGGGCCAAAGCCTGGATCAGCAAGCACCTAGTAAGTCAGCGAGCAGTGCAATGGGATCGGGGTCTGGGGACAAAGGGGATGGCGATGGCGCCCATGCGACCGTTTTAAATGCAAGCACCAGCACACAGACGCAGACAAGCGTTCTAAACCCAGTAGATCTGGTGATGGCGCTAATGAACAAGCCAAACCAGAGTGGAATCATTCAGCAGGAGAGCGAAGTGAGCTCCGCCCAGTACATTAGTAGCAGTTCCGTAAGTCTATCACTGGGCGTTGGGTCCAGCACGGGTGCAGGCGGAGCCGGCGGAGGGGATAGCCATGACAAGGCATCCGATGGCAAGGGCGTAACCGTTCTCTCCAACGTGCTGCTAACGAGTAGCAGCGTGGTGTCTAGCTCGCAGCACATACCATCAATTTCTAGTCCCACGCCTCTTTCGAAGAAGCTTACTCCGTTGTCAAAGGCCGGAGGTAGTGTGGCCAGCAGCAGCAGTGGAGTTGGCAACATTCCCACTACCAGTGCGGGAGTGGGTGCCCTACGGAATGGAAGTGGCATCGGAAATGCCGGAGGATCCGGCATCGCCCTAGATGACTCCTTCAACATGGACATCGAGAGCCCTTACTCGCCCGGCTCCGCTGATTACGAGGATTTGTTTGAGCCACCCATCTTAATGGAAGGAAGCAGGCGAACAAAAGGTGGAGCAGCCGGAGGCAAGATAGAAATATTCGACAATCTATTTGGAAGCAGTTCGCCCATAGGCAACATCCGGATGTCATCGCGATACAATACCGCAGCGGGCAAGAAGTCTAATCGCAGCAAGGGTGACCGAAAGTCTAAAGCAAAGGGTGAGTGTCATTAGGTCCTTTCGCATATACATTTATATATATTAAAAAATATGTGATTAATAAAATAATATTTCATTTCAGGTGTGAGAAATTCTGATGTATATGATGATGTTCCGAATTCGGCAACGGATCTACAAAATAAGGATAGAGTGAGTCATTTTCAACACGCATTTTGTAAAATATAAACTAAATGAATTGTAAACTTTGATTGCAGCTTTTACGCAAGCTAAATCGACAGGAACGTGTCGTTGAGGAGGTGAAATTGGTGTTAAAGCCTTACTTTAACAAAAAAGCGATTACGAAGGATGACTACAAGGATATTATGCGAAGAGCTGTGCCCAAGGTGAGAGCTTTATTCAATTGTAATTATTAACTTTAACAAATTTCTCTCAAAGTAAAAATATCCATCGTTTTTTTTGATAATATATATATTTGCTTTCGCCTTCTATCAGATCTGCCACAGTCGGTCTGGTGAAATTAATCCACACAAGATTAAAAATCTTATTGACGCCTATGTAAGAAAATTCCGAGCAAAGCACAAGAAGTTGAGTCTCCTAAACACGGGGCAAGTAAGCAGTGCGGTTAAGTGTGCCGCCTATTTAAAAAAACTGTAAGCGAGCAAGCGATCGCATAGGATCTGGTGGTAAGTCACATCTAATAATCGCAAGTCCTATAAAAAAATAAAATATTTGATTCTGTTTTTGTAGGATTGGGTAGAAAAATATACAGAATTTTGCGATCGCATGCATTCCTACCATCAAATAAAACCAACAATTTTCACCAGCCACCAATGGAAAACTAAGGGAAAATAAGAGGAAAACTCATAAACTGTCATTAACTATTGGAATTTAGTTGTTAAGTCAATTTTAGGTCACTTTACGAATGATTTTAGAAAGTAAGCGATACACAGAAGTGAAGATTTTTGAGTAATAAGCAGAAGGAAGTTTGTCACCTAATTTTCGGTTACCCAAAGCACTACAAAACACATTATTTATATCAAGACTAGTTCATTAGATTGTTTACTTGTACGACACCTGTAATATGATAATATTATAACTGTTTTGCATGAGCATTAACCAATTGTGAGTAGTTAAGTGATGGCAAAACAAAATTGTATTTTACCTCTGATAATTTAAATATTTAAAAGAATACACATGTGGACAAATTTATAGATGACCTCAGCACATTGGCTTGCATTGAATAAGGCATAGCGAATTCCTGTAAATGTTGTGCATGTAGTCAAGTATTTTTCTTGAATAAATATTGTTAACAAACAATTGTAATTATGTATTCATGTGTATAACTGCATGGCCAGTTATGCTGTTCATCTATTAAGCACTTGATTTCGCAGAGCCTGTCAGTCATAACTTTTGAATAAAGAGTATGAGTGTTTGCATTGCAACACAATTAATAACAGTATATATATATATATACAAGTTGTGCTAAATCGTTTTGTAAATATTCATATAAATAAAAATAAAAACGAATAATACCTAATCCAACTCTGTTGTCCTGATTTTTCTTGTTCTTTATCACATTACTAATCAGATTAATGTCTTGGTTTCTTATGATCAATTTACAATTTTTAAATTTATTTATTTATCAAATTCAGTTTTGAACAATTAAAACAAGTAATTTAATTTTTTGGTAAAGTTTATTAGTTTGATCTTTGTGTTCTGCTTTTGTTACTAAATGTATGTATATAAAGTATGTGTTTATAATAAATAGTTCTGCACATATATATATTTTTTATTGAAAAAATGATTGATGTTCTAATTTTATACATCCTTAGATGAAATGCCGAATTTGCTCCCAAAACGGTACTTTGTTTTACATGACCAATGTACTACACTTCAAAGCGGATTATCAATATGCAGTTGCAATAGTTTAAAGTATTTAACTCAGTTAGTCTATCGAGCCTTTTGATTTTGCTTGGATTGCCTATTAGCTTTCAAGAGTACAAACAAATTGTGCTAAATGTCCTTGTAAATAAACAAAGTATTTAAAAATAAACTTGTTCAACGAAAGTATCTAAATAACCAGTTTTGTTTGATTTTTGTAGTCCTCCATTCGAGAAATGGTCTTTTACTTCCTTTAAGGTTTCTTAGTTGAACAATTTAACAAAAATTGTATCAACAAAGGGCAATCGTTGCTTAATATTAAATGAGGAAGCAGATTGTATGATTCTTCCTAAATCGGTTTGTGGCTATACTCCTATGTACTTGTTAGAAATTTGGTTAGATTACGGTTTTGTTTCAGGGTTTTATTTTAAATGCCAGTTTAGTTATCGAATGAGCGCAGACTTTGGCTTACACTGTCGTCGCAAATTGTGCGATTCCACATCCACACACATTACGATGCGATATCTCGTCTGTGATCTACCAGAATCCGGAAGACTTTCCGCCAGGTGGGTTCTTTACTTTAATGCACGCTCGAACGCCAGACCTGTCGAGCTCCTCTGCAAAGATTATTGAATTTTAAATGTTTGTTGAGCAATAGTTTTAAACTTTTAAGCCCAGTTAATACATATGTATATTTATGTAGAAATATGTATAAAATATATGTATGGTGATATAGATCAATAAACTAAAAAAGGTTTTTAATAGTTATCTCACCACTTATGGAGAAGGAAGATTCCTGCAAATCCCGCTTGCCATCGACACGTCCACGTACCGAGGGCGTACTGCACAGTGATCCTTCCGCTGGCATGGCCAGGTTGCCAGCTAGCATGGCGCTGATGGGCTCCTGAACCGGGATTTGTATGTCTAGCTCGGCAAAGCGCTTGGCCACGTTGCCGTTTTGCTTCTCCTCGTGCTGCTCCTCTGGCTGCGACTGTACCTTGCCCTCGATAATGTCATAGACAAACGGAGGACGGACAGGGGTGGGAATGAACCGTCCGAAGCCCTCTGCCACACGCACGTTACCACGCTCGGCGCAGATCCTTCCGCGCACCAGGACGAACTCGCAAACGCCATGCACGGTCATGCCTTCAAAAATGTTGAAGTCACAGGCGTGGTGATGCGTGTCCTTGGAAATAGTACGGGTGGCATTCGGATTCCAGATCACAATGTCCGCATCCGACCCTACAGCTAAATTAGGATAAATATAACTTTTAGATATCTCATAGAAAAGTGTTCAGAAACTGTTAGGATTAAAAAGCTTTTGAAATCGCAGTCTAAGTCCGATTATAAGTACAGAACATAATTAAATGGCTGTTTACACTAACGGAGACTTATTAATTCAACGTTTCAAATAATTCTCTCTTTGCAATACCATAATTTAAGGTAATATAATTTAAGTAGTTGTAAATATATTTATATTTTTTTGATAAAAATATATAGATATGTATATCAAGTACAAATACAACATACATTTAAAATCTATGGGACTATATCTTGCAATTTTCGCAAGTCTTTTGCTATATAATTGTATGAAGATTTCCATTTCTTATTTACAAAATAATGTAATAATTTGTCGGCAAACACTATTTTAATGGTTATTGGTTATAAAATTATAAATATTTATAACTTATATTTTGGGTTACTTACCAATACGTCCCTTCTGTGGATATATGTTGAATATCTTGGCCGCATTCGTGCTGGTGACGGCCACAAAGCGGCAAGGATCGAGAAGCCCGGCATGGACTCCCTTCTCCCAGACCAATGACATGCGATCTTCGACACCGTTGACTCCGTTGGGAATCTTGGTGAAGTCGCCCTTTCCGAGAGCCTTGTGCTCCTTGTTGAAGGTGCAGTTGTCACTGCCAGTCAGCTGTAGATCGTCACTGGGAACACAAAGTTTAATATGAATTAATATTCCGATTTGGAAAATACTGTTCAATTGTCGGTTAGGGATAACGAAACGAACAATCACCGGGATGGTGGGATATGCAACGAACATGTTCTGATTTTTTGAATACTTACTTCTAGGGAAGTGATAAACGTGGAAACAACGCTATCGAATGCTAACGGTCTACTATATTGCAAATCATTTAGAAAGTTTTAAATGTATAATGATTTTGAGCTATAAAATATTTTTCAGGCTTATTCGTTGTTTTCGCTCATATTGGGTTTGTCATTGAAGCCTAATTCGACCATCTTAAACGAACAAGGAATTGCTCTCTTTTAAACCGAAAGTTTACTTTTTGATTTATATTAATATTATTCCACAAATAAATTATAATCGACACTATCCATTATAGAATTTGTTCCACTTATACAGAAAATACTTACTAGGCCAGGGACTTCATCAATTGTCTGGGTGTCTCGGCGGATTCGCGGATCGGGGGACTGGTGATTGCGTAAATGCGGTCGCCTTTAGGCACGGCGCTCATGGAGCGGCCCAGAGAGCTGGCCAGGGTCTCCCCAAAGACGCAGTACCCACTTCGACGAGCGCGACCCACGAGCTCGGCGGAGGATTTGCTGGTCAGGCCGGACACAAAGAGCGGGGTTTTCATCTGGACGATGTGTGAGCGTGTAAGTGAAGCAATGTCAAACATGTAAACGTTTTTGGATTAGTGGGTTAGATCAAGAAACAGCGCAGTAAGTTAGTTAATTAGTGAATATGATTTAAGCAGGCATATACGCACAGGCCCAGTTAGTATGCAGATAGGCAAACATAAACATATATAAGTAATCCCAAAACCGGAGACCGTATCACATGAATTCTAAAATATAACTAAATTGAACACTATTCTTTCTATACATAAAAATATTTCAAAATTAATTTAGAAGAATATATATATATATATATATGATAAAAAGATAAGTAATTACTTACAACATCCACAAAAACCACCCCATCCCCCCCCACACACACACAAAAATATTTAATTTTATAAGCCAATCTTTAAAGTTATTATAGTTTACGAAACTGAAAAGCAGCTATCGGTAAGGTAATGTATTTGAATATTAAGGTGGGCGGCAAATTTTTGTTTCTTAACACCTACAATCCTATATAAGAATCAATAACTTCATCTTTTTCGCTATGATATTTACGGTCCCGGCTCGGACCAACCCAGACACAACTTACTTCGCCAGCAGCTTCATCAAGAACTCGGGGGTCGTCTTGTCGGGCCGCAAAGGCGGGCTGAGCACATGCGCGGCCTCGTGATCGAAGCCGAGGTGCTGACAACAGGTCGCATCCGTGCCCAGCGCCGCAGCCAGGGTCTCGCCCATAATGTATCGACCCCGATACCGGTGGCGGGCCCTGGCCAGCTCAATGCCTGCCGACTTGCTCATCACGTGGACCACATACAGCGGACAAGCGGCCTAATATACGTTTATTGTGGGGTTATATCGAGTGCCGCATACCGCATAATATGTACAAGGGTGCATCATACACAATGGAAATAATAAGAAATCAAAACGTGTAGCATAAATAAACCATAATTACAGCGCGGCACAGTGACTGGCACTGAACCGGCAAGGACATACACCTCCTCTTCCATCTCCTCCGTCCCTCCAGATATCTAACGAATTGGAAGTGGTCTTACCTGGTGCGCCAGCACGCAGGCGCGGTGCACCGCCTCGGCCTCGACCTCCTCGGGTCGTGACAACTCATGACCCTCTGGCCCATTGATGCCCTCGGCCAGCAGACGCTGCGTGTTCTTCGCAATGATATCGCCGTTCTCCGCGTGGACCTGAGGAATTCAAAAAAGGCGTGCAACAAATGCGTTTAGAATAACAAAGCTAAGATTGTAAATAAATAGTATAAACCACGCATTTTATGAAAATAAGGACCAAATGACTTAGGTATTTATACCAGATACTCGTAGAGTAAAAGGGTATATCAGATTCGTTAAAAATATATAAGGAAGCTTTTTCGACCCTATAAGGTATATATATTCTTGATCAGGATCAATAGCGAAGTCGATTGAGCCATGTCCGTCTGTCCGTCCGTCCGTCCGTATGAACGCTGAGATCTCAGGAACTATAACAGATACAAAGTTGAAATTAAGCATGAAGATTCTTGAGGTCCCGGGACAGCGCAAGTTTATTTCAGCATCTTGACACGCCCACTATAACGCTCACAAATCACGAAAAACTAAAATCGCTGAAATCACGCGAACTATTAGAGCTAGAAAGTCGAATTTCAGTATGTATAAACTTTGGAGGCCGCTGGCACTCTTTTAGTGGTACTATTATCCGGAGTCCGGACACATCCACCCATACGCACACCAAGCTCAAAAGACGGCTTTCGCATTTTCAAGAAAACCTGATATCTTGGTAACTATAAGTGATAGAAAGTTCGGACTAAGCATGTAGGTTTTTATGATGCCCCAAATGCAAATTGTTTTTTTCCATCTAGCCACGCCTACCGTAACGCCCACAAACCCGAAAAACCAAAAATGCAAAAATTTCGGGAACTAAAAGAGCTAGAAATTTGGGCTTAGGAACATGTATTTTAGAGGTGCCACTGCAACTTCCCACGAGTTTTCATCCGGCCACGCCCACGCCCACTAACGCCCACAAACCGCGGAAAACTGTGGCGTCTATAATAATATTATAAATGCCTTCGTTTGACATGGTATAACCTATTTCTGTTAATATCTATCGATTTACAAAAACGGAACATTATTTCGCTACTTATGAAGAAATTTAGGTTATAAGGCCTCACAAGGCCTCAACATGCTTTCTCCGACAATAGGTGGCGCTTGGGGAATTTGCACTAGCAAAATGAATATTTAAAAATTGTGTAAAACAGTAACGGGTATCTTATAGTCGTGGCACTCGACTATAGCGTTTCCTCTTGTTTTTGTCTAATATTTATTTTGTAGATTACTCTAATGTCAGATGATCATCAGCATTTTTAAATAAAAAAGAATGAAAACAATTTTGTGTTTATCCACTGCCATTCTGAATTTAATAAACGAATTTTGGTGATAATAAAATAATATATAAAAAATAAGTTTAGAAGAGTTTATTCCCTTTTACGTATATTAACTATATATCAATATTTATAATATCATTAATTATATAAGAGAATTACAGGTTTTTATTCGCTTAGACTTACCATTGCGACGCCATTTAGGTGTCTAATGCGCTCGAAAACATCTAATAGATCTGAATCGTTTAGCTGAAATGGTAATAGATCATAAATTATAAATAACTTTTGCGTTAAATTATACACAATTTACCTGGTAAAGACCTTTATAGGCCATGAATGTTTTAAAAGAGTTAACTCCAAGCTCTTTGCACAGAATTCCGATTTCCTCGGACACCGACTTTGACCACCAGGTGATTCCGACATGCAATCCGTAGTCGCAACATACCTTATAAATATATAAATTTAGTAAGTATTTTAAATGTTTTTAATTTAAAAGTCTAAGTTAAGTTACACAGTCCAAAACTATATCAATAATATCAGGGATTACAATGACTTTAAATTAAACGATTATAGGGTATAAAAATTAAAATTAATATTGGCAGAGGTATCTTTCCATAATTCGCCTAATGTTTTTTACCTTAGGATCGGCCCAGCTGCGCCACTTATCGTAGGCCTCAATCATCGACTCATGTTTGTTGGGCAGAACGAAATCGACTAGAAAAGTTGACAGGTATAAGTTCAGTTTTTAAGTGCTTAAAGGCCACTGCTTACTTATCATGGTGGTGCCTCCTGCGACGGCAGCCTTGGTTCCGTGGTAGAAGTCATCGACGGCTACGGCTCCGCCAAAAGGCAACTGCATGTGCGTGTGGGGATCTATACCTCCGGGGATGATCATCAGGCCGCTGGCGTCGATGGTGCGCACTCCTCCAGGTATGGTGATTTCAGAGGAGGGTCCCACAAACCTTAAATCCCAAAATAAGGGTGACATTTAAAAAGGTTACAAAAGGTTGGCGCACATTTTAATGAATCATGACAACCCCATTACAATTCCGCATATTCCACAAAAGAGTATAAGGACTTTGCGGCATAATTTAGGTTTGAGTTTCTAATCGGAAAACAGGACATTGCTGAACCACTAGATAAAGAAAATATTTTGTTTTTTTTTTAAATATTTTTTCTGTGTAAAGCTAATTAAATGAAAATATCACAACTTAACTAGATTTGTACTCTTCATTTTTTTGGCATATTAAAAGATTGAATAAAAAATTTGTTAAGGAATTTAAGCAAAGAAAAAGTATTAAACAATTTAAGTAGTTTCACTTGGGTTTTAAACGCATTTCACATACTTGATAACTCCGTCCTCGATGTACACATCCGCTTTGAACGTTTTGTCATGGTTAACGATCTCGCCTGTAATCAAATCAATGTTTTTAACTTGTGTCTTTCACACGGAGTCGGTTAATGAGCTTACCATTTTTAATGTAGACACGATTCTGGGCGCTCTGCAAGTGAATTGGCACCTTCTTAACCGGTTTCGGGCTAGTCGACATGACGAGAGTCTGCAATTAAATGAGTGCTGTGAGTGAATGTTAGACTAGACTGGGGAGGATTTCCCCATTTCCCATTTCCCACACACAGACACGCGAGCTGCCGTTTTCATTCATTCTTTTGGGGTTGTTGGGCCTTTTGTGGTGGCCTATGACTCATCAGGGGCATCGCTTCAGGACAGGCTCTAGGCACGTGCCGTACATTAAACTGCGCAAACCTAGCTTAAGCCTATGCACTCAGAAAATAAACATTTAAATTGATCAAATTTTAAATAGGTAAATAAAATCCTGCTCTGAAGAAGACCAAAAACCCCTGTCCTAAGTCATTATCTGATAGTCTTCTATAGCTAATGATTTTGTGTTTGTGTTTTAAGTGGCAAGTGGCAAAAGAATTATCTTTTTAACACTTCATATACAATAAAAAGATATAATATATATATTATATATATAACAAAAAAGATATTTATATCTAGTAATCAATAGTTTTTTGCCAAGTTATAATACAAATAATGAAAAATTTGAAAACACCCCCTAACTCACTTGGGACCATTTTAGACTCTTTACTGATTACTCTTTAAATTTGTAATTTAAATATGTTTTGAGTGTATGCAATCGGTAAGTATTTGTGCTGCGGGATGTTATTGCGTTTTTTGAAAGGGTAGTCGATGACGAAGCTGTGACCCACAGTGCAGCGACACAAATGTCATCGCTTGTCATCGTTTGTCTTTCCAACAGATTGGTTCCTCCACTTCGAAAGTTTTTTGTTCCGCCGGTAGACACCAAGCTCAACACAAAACAATATGGTAACTGCATAACAGGCAGAATATTAATGTTGCGCCTAAGCCATTACAAGAGCCATCTCTTCCGTCTGCCAACCAGGCCAGCGGGCATTAACCTCTTGGTTGGCTGGTCTTTCAGCCTGTTGTGGCCCTCTCAAGTATTATGTATTGTATGTTTGGTGTTGAGTGGCGATGCGACGTACTACTCCCTCGTCACACACTCTCTCACATCGGATATTGTATCACTATAGTGACTCAAGAATGGCATTGGCGATGGCCCCAAAGCCGCTAAGTTCAAATTGTGCCACACGGGCACAGCAAACTGAAAAAAGAGAGTAAGTCAGGGCGGTGCGGAAAGCATTTGTTGTGGTTCTATGAGTTAGCTTCTTACAGCTGCGGTCAATGGGACAGAACCTCACGGGAGTTATGTGTGCTAAAGTGATTTATTTTATTATTATTGCTTTTGTAAACGTGTCACTAAAGAGTTGTCTTCTGCTTGTTTTTCAGCAATAATTACCACCAATCTTCTATTAAAAATAACTCTCGATGGTAGATAATACTTTTATCTTTAAATATCGAAACAAAGGAGGAAGTTTTTCTCATTATGGGTCCGGCTGACCCAAAGGAAATCTGATTTCTTTTTTTTATCCAAGATGCATTTTCTGAATAATTTTTGTTTGACAAAACTCAATATGTTTTTCCTATTAGCATCTACAGCTTTTACCGCAACTGTGCGTCTGCAAACTTTGTTATGGTAATGATTATTGGGGTGCATGAAGTGTTGAAGGATGGCTACATTTCATTTATCCAATTGCGACTGGTACCACGGCAATATTGGATAAGTGAGCACTTTCCCCTTTGGTGGCGCTGGATTTGGATGCAATGAACTAGATTATCTTTTAGCGCACATGTCCATATGTATAAAATTGCTGAATATAAAAAGTGTACATATATAAAATGTATACAAGTGGGTTTGTAGGTATGTATATACATAGTGTAATTAATGCAGCCGTATTAATGTAGTGAGAAATGTGCATGCTCATTCTCTTTAGACATTTTGTAGGTCGCCAGTGCTCTCTGAATTATAAAAATACATACAAATGTTTCGGTACTCGACTTAATTATATTTAGCGTTGTTTGTAAGCCGACTGACTATTAGATGTTTGAAACTTTGAATCAGTTCCTAACACTTGATGTTCCAATTGTGCACGCTAACAGGACTCCTAGGCAAGCTAGATAATAAATGTAAATGATGTGGTCACTTATAGCAACTTAAAAAAAAATTCAAAGACGGAAAAATATTTATTTATTCTATTAATTACAAAAACAAGTCGTTTTTTGTTTAATTTTTAATGAATTTAAACAATAATTCAAAAATTCTGTTATGAAAAATAACAAAAACTATTATTATAATTATTTACCAGACACTTTTGACATAATATAGTAAAATTCTAATGCACAGCATTATAACTTAATGATCAGACTATAAACGTGATAGAACAATCGGCAGTTTTTACTCATTATCACTGTTTTATACCCGCTATAAAATCTTGACTTATCTTATCACCAATGGGCCCATCCTCCAGATGGGCAGAACCTGGGTCTGTAGTACCCTAGGGGGTACTATTGACAAACTTGCACCACGTATCGCAAGCCGGTTTGATGAACTTAGAAATCAAATCCTGACCTCAAGCAGAGGCGTCCATGTGTGCGCGATCTATATAAGCACGGCCAAATACGTCAATAAAATCAATTTCATCTCCATCAGACATCGTGGCTTAATGCAATTGCCGGTTTGCAGAGACCAACGACTCGATGTTCGTTTGTTATTAAATCGATAAAAGGCTGCGGCCCGAAAAGGAAGCAACAAGAAAAGCCTGTACCCACCCATTCGGATTCGTCGACGAAGATGTGGTCATGGAGAGGTATACAATCAGATCCACACAGTGCACCTGCATGCACATATTGGGTCTGGAAATGCCGTCATTCAATCAAAACGCACTCGCGAATGCTGTTTGCCATCGTAGGAGAAATTTCAAATTAACGGCCCAACATTAGGGTATATATGTGTATACTTATGTACGACCCAATAAGATTTGAAAATAGAATGAAAAACTGTGAAAATACCCACGCATTGCGCATAAGTATACACAGACACACACACACACTTGCAATACAGAAAATGGAGAAAATTCAACTAGCTTTTCGTCTGCATTAGGAACATCAACGAATTAAATCCTCAGTGTTTTTTTTTGGTAAATTACCGTTAAATGGATGCAATCTCACGCGATTTAAATGGTTAATTAATTTAATCTACACGCACGCACAAGTTCACTGTTTGAAAATCGGAAAACATTTAACTCTCGGTCTCTCGCCTATTGGTGGGTTTTGCCTTTTCGTGGTGGGATTTATCAGCTGATGTTAACAGTTCTGTTAGTCGGTGGGAAAGTCACCACTTCACTTTTAGGGGATTCCTGAAACTTACTTTAACATTACTCGAATTAAAAGTTATTATGTTAATTTTATCTTTGTTTACAAGAATAGGTATACGCTAAATCATTTTTGCAAATAACAATATATTGTTTACTTCATGGCTAGGAACCCATTGCAAGACAAACAACCAATATAGTTTACAACATAATTTAAAAAGACTGGATTAATATTAGAAAAGAAAACACCTGTCTTACAAATTTCTCTAGAGAATTCATATATTATTTCCTATTTCTTTATTTTAAAGTTTTGCGTTGATCATTTTTAATTAATTGGAATCGTTGCCTTGGTAATTAGGATTTATATCTGTAAAACTTAAAATAAATATAGATATGTAGGTAAAGTCCCAATTTTTTTAGGTTTAATAATATTTAAAACACTCGCGGTTTGTAAGTCACGCCTACCTTTAAATACAATTTGCACTGCGCCTCTCTTGAATTTTCATGCTAAATCTCAATTTGTAATCTCCTACAGTTTCAAAGAATTCAGAGTTTATACTAACAGATTATAGATTGACTTACATATGTACCGTCAATATCGTCAATAATATCGAAATCGCCATTACATTCTATTCAACAAATAATTGATACTAGTTATAAAAATAGTTATTTTTCGAAATGGAATTTGAAAGCTCTATTGATAAAATACGATACCCTTAATCTTCGTTGAATAAAAGCACCCAAAATATTATTTTATACTTATCCATTAAAAAAGCCGAATACATTTTTAGCTTACATAAGAGTTCACCTGAGTACAAAAACATAGAGGCAGATTACTTGAAAAAATTATATTTTAATTGAAACTAAAAACATAATGTTGATATAATTTGTATATGAACTTTGTAACTGAATTGTTGTTGTGAAAAAAGTGTACTAACTTAAACCTGTTGCGTTGCGCTAAACGCGAACCACAAAATCTGCTGGGCAGCGTTAGCGGACGCATCTAAGTCGCTTGATGCTGGTTACTTGCTGTGTGGACTTAAAGCTATTAGGTCTATTAGGTTTTTTTTTAGATTTTCCTGCTGCGCACAAGGGGCACGGACCGCCCCCGCCAGTGCACGCTGGCCCAACTGTGTAGATAAGAGATAATCGATTTTCGTATTGCCATAGCGATTCGCCGTATTCCCAACAGTTCGGCCGTACTTTTAGCTAGCCAGGGACCCTACGATACGAGACAACTGCTTTTCTCCTGGGGATTTCCGTTTTCGTTCTCGATCAGGATCAGTAGCTGATGGAATATATCTCCCACAGACTGCGGAGGAAATTGCTAAGTGAAATTTACCTCATCGAAATGGAAATGGTACTTGCCTCGTTTTGTTTAGCGGATGTTTCGAGAAATGCAGCTCTCCAGGATTCGGCCAGCTTCTTGCCCTCTTCCGTGGAAACGGTTCTTTCCTGGTGCAGATCGGTCTTGTTGCCCACCAACACCACAGGTACACTGCAAGACAACGTAAATTAGGTCAAATCTCCCTACAGGAACGCTTTGAGATGCCCACTATTTCTTGCCCATCACATCCAGCAACTTCTCGTATATTATCTTGACCACCTCAAAGGACTTTTGGCTGGTTATTGAGTACACCAGGACGTAGCCGTGGTAGTCCATGCTGTATTGCACTGGGAATATGCTGTACTCGTCCTGGCCGGCCGTATCGATAAGCTTCACGATGTAATCTTGCGATTTCACACGCTCAATCTTCGTGAAGGCTGCGAATATGAATACGGATCATTACATCTCACTATCAAAGCACCAATTTCGAAGCTTTCACTCCATCCTTTTGGGAATTCCGAATGGGATGGCGCACTTACTATTCTCGATGGTGGGGTCATAGGAGTCAACGAACTGGCCTTCCACGAACTGTATGCAGAGCGACGATTTACCTACAGGTGAAACTGAAATATTATGGGCAATTCGTCGCAGGTTTAGCTTTTATCAATATACTACGCAATTACAAGTGACAGCAGCAACAATATCTTCGGGTTCTGATGGAATTTCAAAGGGTAAACTCACCCACTGATCGGTAGCCCATCATGGCTATGTTGCGCTCCTTGGTTGGCATTTTTTTTGGATAGAATGCTTTGAAATAAAATAATAAAACTCCTGGTTTTGGAGCTCTTCCACACTTTTTTTAATGTTTTCGACCCTTCGATTTTATGTGCGCTGGTGTGGGTGTGTGTCTGTGCGCCAGTGGCTGTGTAGACGAGGATTACTGCTTCTGACTTCACTTTTTTTGCTAGGGATACTTGTTGCTATCACAGCTAGGGCCTTTCCAACTATTTTAATTCAAATATTATGTATAAGATCGTCGAAAATAAAATAGCGATTTCTAAGTTGAGTCAGTCCTGGAAGAGGCGACGCAAAAATACCATTTATAGCTCCGTTAAAAAATAACATTTATTCGTCTCTGTGCTACGGTCATACCGCTCGGTGCTCATAAGATTAACATGAAGCATATCCAGTGCTGCCAACTTTATAAATTGAAGTATCGATAGAAAATTAAATCGATAAATTGATTTCCTCCAGCGTTTTTGTGAAAAAATATTTTGATTTGCTGTAAAGTACCGGTATAATCTATCCCCTTAAAAATGGGTACAAAACGTCGTAACATCGAGGACGAGTTATCGCGCTTCGAGGCGGAGATCTCCAAGCCGCCTGCCCGTAATCTCTTCGTACCTAACCAGGTGCGCCCAATCATTGCCGCCAATACGTACCACAACGTTCAGCACAAGTTGCAGCATCACCAGGGGAATGGAGGATCCAGATTAACCGTGCCCCCTCCTCCGATCCCGCCACCACCAACCTTCATGTCAACCTTCGTCCCAACAGGCAGTGGAAGCGGCTCCTCCAGTTCCAAGCCGATTACAGCAACGCCCGTGGTTCTCAGCAGTGCGCCCAAATTGTATCAGTGCCGACAGTCTGTGCACGTGCCCACCGTGGCCGCGGCCCCCTCCATCGACATTAATGCCGTCTCCTTTGACGTGACACAGAAGTTAAAGAAGCTTAAGGCGGAAAAGTCCGGCCCTAATCCCATTGCAGAGGAGGCCATTAAAGCTGCTCGCGCATCTTCTGCACTGCAGTCCTTTCAGACAACGGAGCGCAAGAAGAAGGACCGTAAAACTGTGCGAATCGCTGGTGGTAGCGTGTGGGAAGACACATCACTGGCAGACTGGCCCGATGATGACTTCCGAATATTCTGTGGCGACCTGGGAAACGATGTCAACGACGAAGTATTGACTCGGACCTTTAATAAGTTCCCCTCGTTTCAGCGGGCGCGGGTAGTCCGCGATAAGCGGACGGGCAAAAGCAAGGGATTCGGCTTTGTCAGCTTCCGTGAACCGGCCGACTTCATACGGGCCATGAAGGAGATGGACGGTCGCTACGTAGGAAGTCGGCCCATCAAGCTGCGAAAGAGCACCTGGCGTCAGCGCAGCCTGGACGTAGTCAAGAAAAAGGAACGCGAGAAACAGGTGCTGTTGCAGGCGTTCAACTCTATGAACTGAATCTGCGTATGCATCCCCTGTCCTTTAGGCTAGTTTCGGTCATTTTGAAGTAGCAAATTAGGTTTGGATGTTGCTGCCAAAGATGAGCAATAAATTTACTTTTAGCAATTGACAAACTATCTTTATTTGGAGTAACTACTTTCTATCCCTAACCCTTACGAGTTAATATAGCAGCACAATTGTAAATTTGAAATACAGCGACGGCTTGTTTAGTTAAGATAAGCTTAGACGGGAAAGCAATAATTGACTATAAATTACGTAAAGCTTTTAGTACCATTTGGATTGTTTCTTTCCACCAAGGAGAGCCCTCCTCAATGGGTCGCTCTCGTCCCCAGCGTCACGACGTTGACTTTCACTTTCCTCTTTTCCTATTAGCCGTTCGTATTGGTCGTCCCTCCTGGGCCACCGGATCAACGCTTTGCCGGCTTCTGGTTCAAAAATGGAAGGAAAGTATTGTCTGTAGCTAATGTAACCCGCAAAAAGGCCAATCAGGCCCCCAATGGTAACATCCTGCCAGTGGTGGTGGTAGTCGCAGGTGCGACTGACAGCCACCAGTGCTGCAATCACAAAGGGAATCACAGCGATGAAGAACCGCCAGGTGTGGCCGCGTCCCCGTATGTCGAAGGCGTGCAGCTTGGCGCCAACATAGTAGGCAATGAAACCGAAACTAGCAAAGGCGACTGAATCGAAAAAGTGGATCTGTTAGTTAGGCTTTCGAATGGCGATATACTTCGAACACTCACACGATGAGTGCCCGCTGGGAAAGCTTTTACGGCCCTCGTTTATATCCCCTGGAAGACCTGTACAGTTGAAGTCCAATATGGAAGTATCCGAACTGCTCGACGAGGTGTTAAGAACCATCACACCGTCGGGAAAGCAGCGGTAGAAGTAATCTGGCCTGGGCCGGCCAACAGTTATTTTCAGCACGCTCGTCGGGATACCATTCATGCACAAAGCCAGTGTCCAGGCCCAGCTCGCTGCTCTGAAGTCCCGCCTGTCTTTCGTATACAGGTAAAAGGCTACTGTGACCAGGAAGGGTGCCGTTATTACCCAGAAAAGTAGCTCTCCACCCCTAACGATGTCCGGTCTCCTGGGATTCTTGTATAACCAGAGTTCCTCTACGTGGATTTCCCTTTTGAAAGCTGTCATCGTCTCCAGCTTGCTGCAGGAATGAGTCATGCATGAGAAATTGTGATCGTCAGCAGTTGGAATTTGTCAAAATAACTCACAAAAACACTATGACGAGGAAAATACGGAGCACCACATCAATTGCATTGCTGAGTCTCATATTAGAGTGAACAGAACTAGGGCTCGATTCCTTCTGCTTTTCGGGCTGGGCAGAGCTGCTGTCCGTATTCAGAGAAAGCTCGTTGCGCCACATTCCGTCGCCGTTGGTCTTTGATCCTTTGCGCCCACTGTCCTCGTTGGAACTCTCGCTGAGGGGTCTCCTGGATTCTTGACCTTCCTTGTCTGTCGGCATTTTGCAAGTCCGATGGGAATACTCGGTTGTCAGATTATGTTTGGAGCTTGTCGCCTAAATAATTAATAAAGATTTACATAAGTAAACGACGGGTCATTAATGGTTGCACTTATGTGTTGGGGTTAACAACGCCGACTGTTAGCTCAATTAAATAATATTCCGTAACTTTTCTACCTTTGGAAATCAGATATATTAAAGTGATTTGCTGGTCACTTCATAGGCTTATCGTTCGCGGATTGGAGGTTTTTAATAGAGTTTCTAGAGACTATACATAGGGCGGCTTGGCCAAAAAACTGTCAATGCGACAATTGAGTGTTGAAGGTGTGATAACTTACGATTTTCGCGATTAGATAGTCACACTGAACGAAAATTATGACGATTTCTAGATATTTTCTGTCTCTGTTTATAGAACTACCACTTATCAATGAATTTAGTGTAAAAGTAAAAATAGGACGAATTTTTATTTAATTAATTCTCAATATCCGTACAATCCTCTTTGCATTGATTTTTCTTCCTGTGCACACTGCCACGCTTTGGGTCAATGTTTGTCATCAATCGCGGTTACGTATGACAGATATATAGATACTTATAGTATTGGCTATGGAGTATGGGATGCGGAAGCCGATGCTATATGCACACTCTGTGTTTTTAATAAGCTAGTCGTCATAAACAAAATTGGCAAGCTGGCGCACCTGCTCCTCGACAATATTTGCAATATTGCCGTTGCGGTCGATTGAATTTTCGTGGCGGCGGCTACGTAAGTCCGCCGAAAAGCTATAGAGCATTATCACCCGATCCGATCCCCTGGGATATGGTTATATTTAAGTTGACTTTGGAACTATTTGCACTTTGCGCTTTGACTCTAGCTGTGGCATCCACTTGTTGCTTTTTCTCTCGACGTGATTTCCGACTGCTGCTGAATGCTAATTGCAGGGCTTTTTATAAACTTTCTCTGATCTCACAACAGCATCGAAAAACAAAAAGCCCCTCTTCTTCCCTAATACCAACAAACTGGATGGGCACCAAAAACAACAACAGCTGTTTGCCCTTCTGGTTAGTTTTGGATTCCTCGAGAGCTCGCACTTGGTTGGTTTACCTGTTAATTAAGCATGTTTTTGGCGGTAACAATTACAACTCATTGCGTTTGAAACGTGACCATTCGACGAAGGCAAACATTTTCACCCCTTTCGTTTATTTTCGGTTGTAAACTTGCAGAGCGAAATTGAACTAGCGATAAACAACTGTTATCGACAGGGCTGCCAACGTAGGGGAATAAGTGATAAGAACAGGGTTGTTGGTAAAATCATATGATTGGATGAACAATTCTCTGTCGCTGAAGAAGATAAATAAATTAAGTCCATTCTATAACCTACAATGACCGCCGGAATAAGCGAAAAAGAGGCTGCTGGCCAGCTGTTAGATGACTTGTACCTAGACATGTTCCACCTGGTTGAGGAGCACACCAAGAGCAGAATTAATCTAGAGCGAAGCAATGCCAGTGGGGCGATTCTTCTGGCCCGAACTCGATTCCAGCACGGAGGCAGTAATTCTGTGTCCACGGCACAGATTCCAACGGAGAACAGTGCCGAGTTTAAAGCCCTCTGTCGGGTTATAGACTCTAGGGATGGCATCTCCGTAGAGAGGCAGCCGGTGGACAAGTCTAAGGGATTCGTGGAGCCCCTGCACTGGTTTTCGTGAGCATTGATAACGCCTAAGTAGGTCGCAGTGATAAAAACCTATTACTTTCAGGGTCCTGCCGCCTATGAGTTTGCGCAATGCGGTATCAAAGTTTAAGGATTGCATCGAGCTGGTAGCGGAGAGCACAAATCTCCAGCGGCAGTTGGGACAAGCACTGGATTGGATAACCAAACTGCGCAGGAGTGCCCTGCTAAAGTAGGCAATTATAATCTAAACACAATCCATAAAACGATAAGAATAAAGTAGATCTGAAACCGTAAACATGGCATTAAACTTTCCTCTTAATTACATATTTTTATACCCGTTATTCGTAGAGTAAAAGGGTATACTAGATTCGTTGAAAAGTATGTAACAGATAGAAGGAAGCGTTTGGGACCCTATAAAGTATATATATTCTTGATCAGGATCAATAGCGAAGTCGATTGAGCCATGTCCGTCTGTCCGTCCGTCCGTATGAACGCTGAGATCTCAGGAACTACAACAGATACAAAGTTGAGATTAACCATGAAGATTCTTGAGGTCCCGGGACAGCGCAAGCTTATTACAGCATCCTGCCACGCCCACTCTAACGCCCACAAATAGCAAAAAACTAAAATTGCTGAAATCTCAGGAACTATTGGAGTTAGGAAGTTGAAATTCAGAAAGTATAATCTTTAGATGCCAGCGCATCTTATAGTGATATAGTATACTATCCGGCCACACCCACCCATACGCCCACAAGGCTCAAAAGACGGTTCTCGGATTTTCTGGAAAAGCTGATATCTCGGTAACTATAAGAGCTAGAAAGTTCGGATTAAGCAAATAGCATTCTATGATGCTCCCAATGCGAATTGTTTTTTTGCTACACAATTTTGCTTAGGAACACGTATTTAAGAGATGCCTCTGCAACTTGCCACGAAGTTTCATCCGGCCACGCTTACTCTAACGCCCACAAACCGCGGAAAACTGTGGCGTCTATAATATTATTATGAATGCCTTCGTTTGACCTTGTATAACTTATTTTTTTTAATTTTTTAAATCGGAGCATTATTTCGCTATCTATGAAGAAATTTAAGTTATAAAGATTTACATGGGCAGTGCCCTCACTATCAGTTACTCAACTTGCTTTCTCTGACAATAGGTGGCACTAGCAAAATAAAATTTTAAAATTTTGTAAAACAGTAACGGGTATCTTATAGTCGCGGCACTCGACTATAGCGTTTCCTCTTGTGAAATTTAAACTGTATATATATTGAAACATTACAATAAATTTTTGACTCTGGTTAATAATTCTAGGCACCATTAATTAAAGTAATGCGAAATTTGATTTTTAAGTGTATAAAACTGTAGCTAACTTTTTTATAACAAATAATTTGTAATAGAAACAAATTATAAGTAGGTGCACAACGTGAGTTTTTAAGTATAGAGTCTTTATTTACATTCTTATATGCTATTTATACTCGTTACTCGTAGAGTTAAAGTACGAGGTGTGTTCAAAAAGTAAGGTGACTCTTCAAATTTCGCGAATTTCAAATTTTTCGATTATCGAAACCTTTTAGAAGTTATACGAGGTGTGTTCAAAAAGTAAGGTGACTTTTCAAATTTCAAATTTTTCAAATTTTTCGATTATCTTCAGTTTTGGGAACAAGAAAAAGTCACATGGGGCCAAATCCGGTGAATATGGTGGCTGAGGCATTATTGTGGTGTTGTTTTTGGCCAAAAAATCCAAATCCTTTGATCCATATTTTTCGATAGCAAAAAATCGCCGAGCTCGCAAAATAACTTGTAACTTTACGCCTCTCACAACCAAACAAAAGGGGATGTTCCATTGAAACTTGGTACAGATGTTAGGGAAGAGTATACCAATATAACAAAACAAAAAAATCGATAATCGAAAAATTTGAAATTCGCGAAATTTGAAGAGTCACCTTACTTTTTGAACACACCTCGTATACTAGATTCGTTGAAAAGTATGTAACAGATAGATGGAAGTGTTTCCGACCCTATAAAGTACAGTCCGCACATAATTTATTCGTACACCCATGAGTTGGAAGTTTATTCCTTAATATCTCGAGAAATACGTAACGGAAATTAAAATGTAATATCTCAAATGAAAGATATACATTTCGAGAATATATTTTAAACATAAAATTAACAAGTTTAAACTTTAATACTAGATAATTTCCTTAATAACACAAAATGTTAAAAAAACAACAATTTCAAAGATTTAAAGATTTTAATCTTTAGAGGGTCCATCGATGGCCTTAATGGAAGCTTGTAAACGTCGACACATGCTTTTTATAAAATTGCTCGTCTCGTCAGCATCAATTGAATCCCATTCATGTATTAATGCAGTTTTTAAGGATTCCTTTGAGGATATGTTGTCCTTTTCTGGAGGATATCCCATAAATGTTCAATGGGATTCAAATCTGGTGATTGTAGAGTCGGTTTTTGCTTCTTGCAGTGATATAAAAGCCACTATTGCACTAAATACGACAAATATATCGGGTCGTTATCTTATTGAAATACGAAAGACGCTGGATTCTGTCCAAGTTTAAGGGCACTTGGAATTAAATTTTGGCCTAAAATGTCTTTATACATAAATTTATTAATTTTATCTTCCAACAAGGTCATTCGACCCAATCCACCTGCAGCTGTACACCCACCCATAAACCATCACATTGTGGCCAACGTACTCATATGCCTTTTGACATACTTTAAAAGGACCATCGTGTCCAAAATTTTTAATTTTTGAATTGACAATAAGTATAAAAATGCACTTTTTCATGCACTTTTGCGGTCTCCAAACGCATGTTATAATCAGAAAACAATGGGTTTTTACGAACAACTCTACCATGTATACCAGCATTGAGTAGGGTGTTCCGAATGGTTTGGGTACAACATTTTTTTTCTGAAGGCTTCTCTAGGGTTTTAGGAATTGTTGCGGATGTTATTCTTGGATTTTGTAATGCCGTATTTACAACTTTATGCTCCTCCCGTGGTGTTAGTATGTGGTTCCTTCCAGATTTTCTATGTTCTTCTGCAAATTCTCCAGTGTTTAGATATTTTTTTGTATCAAACTTTGCATTGTGGAAGGTGACTTGACAATATTTCTACCGGTTTTGGGTTCGCTAAATATAATTTTATTATAGTTTTTCGAAAATTTAGGGATAAATCTTGACCGGGGTCACCCATTTCGTCCAATTACAGCAAGTTTGCTCCGAAGTACAGTTTGAAAAAGAATCGCGGATTACCGTTGGGATTCAGAAATAGAAGTCAAGAATGAGAAGTGTACGAATAATTTTTGTGTGTAAAAAATTACTTTTTTGTGTTATTAAGGAAATTATCTAGTATTAATGTTAAAACTTGTAAATTTTATGTTTAAAATATATTCTCGAAATGTGTATCTTTCATTTGAGATATTACATTTTAATTTCAGTTACGTATTTCTCGAGATATTAGGCAATAAACATGTAACTCATACGAATAAATTATGTGCAGACTGTATACAGACTGTATATTCTTGATCAGGATCAATAGCGAAGTTTATTGAGCCATGTCCGTCCGTCCGTATGAACGCTGAGATCTCAGAAACTATAACAGATACACAGTTGAGATTAGGCATGAAGATTCTTGAGGTCCCTACACAGCGTAAGTTTATTTCAGCATCCGGTCTCGCCTACTCTAAAGCCCACAAAACACGAAAAACTAAAATCGCTGAAATCTCAGGAACTATCAGAGCTAGAAAGTTGAAATCCAACATGTACAATCTTGAGATGCCAGCGCGTCTGATGTTGGTATTATTATCCGGCCACACCCACTCAAGCTCAAAGGACGGTTTTCGCATTCTTTAGAAAAGCTGATATCTCGGTAACTATAAGTGCTAGAAAGTTCGTATTAAACATGTAGATTTTTATGATGCCCCTTATGAGAATTGTTATTTTTTCCGATCAAGCCACGCCTACTCTGGCACCCACAAGCCGCGGAAAACTGTGGTGTTCATAATATTATAGTGTATGTCTTCGTTTGACCTTGAATAACATAACAATATCTATCTATGTACCAAGGATTTTTCGAATCGGAACATTATTTCGCTATTTATGAAGAAATGTGGGTTATAAGGCGTGAGGCCTGGGCAGTGACGTAACTATCAGTTACTCAACATGCGTTCTCTGGCAATAGGTGGCGCATTGTATATTTCCACTAGCAAAACGAATATTTTAAAATTGTGTAAAACAGAAACGGGATAGTCGCGGCATTCGTCTAAGCGTTTCTTCTTGTTTAAATTAAATTCATATCAAAAATATTTATGCCGCATTAGAACATCCGGCATGCTGGGGTTAAGGTATTGTGCGCTCTCACGTCCGGCGCTGCCACTCGGTGTGCACAGAACCAGCAAGTGGCAGCTCCGCGAATTCTACTAATCAGCTGTTTGGTTAGTCAAGTCAACCATTTTCCCTTCGTGTTCTTGGCGAAAATTAAAACGCGTAATTCGCTTGTTTATTTTGCGTAGTGCATGGTGAGTACCTTTTTCTTGGGAAATTGAGACCCTTGTTTCCCCTACTTGTGTTCTTGGACGAAACATATTGAACTCTGGCAGGAGCAGAGGCTTTAAAGCAAAAATCGATAATTGCCAAACGAAATACAAGCATAAAGTGATGGCAATTAACAAATAATGTAATCAAATTCCAGCACGAATAATAGAAGTATATTGTGCGGGAACATGCCAGCGGTGGAAAAGCGGCTAAGGAGATAACAGATAGTAAAGCGACGCCCAAAAAGTGACATATAGAAGCGCAAGCAGAGGCTGCACGCGGGCCTTTGTTGTTGTGTCTGCTGCGGATCCAGCGGAAACAGCGCAACCCAGTCCCCCACCACGCCCTCGAGGCACACACCCAGACATCCACTTGCCAGCCATACGCTTTGGCCATGAACGGAGCACGAGACCACGCAGATCCCCCGCTGCTCCAGCTCGAGGACGAGGTAGACCTCATTGGAGATTTTGTCAAGGACCTAACGCCACCAAGCAGCCAGCTGGCCCCCCTCTTAAATGGTTTCGAATCGACCACCAATCAATTGACCACCAAAGTAGAGGTGGGTGCACTCAACTCTACCACATTCCTCTTTAATATGATGTGTGCTCTTTTCCTAGATCAACACCGTTGGCATGAGCAAACGTAAGACCAGGAGACGAGGTAGAAAAGGGCGGGAACCCATGCTACTGTCGGTTGATGACGATGACGACGAAGAAGAGGTGTCAGAGGAGAGAAACCACAGCAATGGCCTGCTTCTAGGCGAGGAGAGTGCTGGGGGCGATGCAGCACAACAGAAACCGCAACTGGATAAGTTGGTCATGTTCCACGAAGATCAAACTGACGACGGCGATGACGAAGATGGTGAGGAGGATGTGTTGCTAAAGAGGAGCTCAAACCTGCGCAGCAATAGATTCAAAGGTCGTACAGAGGAAAGCATCGACAGCCACAGCCAACAGCCACAGATCATTAGTCATATCGCATCCGCGAAGGTAGCCACTTCTACATCTACATCTCCGCTGAAATCCAATTCGCACATTGCCCTCGGCCGTCATCCACATGACGAGGCTGACGATATCTGCCTGGTGCCAGAAATCGATTTCGAGGGCATGTCCACGGATGCGGCCAGCGACAACCGGGAGTCGCAGCCGCTACTGGGAGGAGGCAGTGCCAGCCACGGAAGCCGCATCAGCGAGCTGTTAGGCGGACTAGGACGTGGTCACGATCATGTGGAATTTGTATCGAACACATTTGGCGGTGAGTGTGCAGCAGTATAACGAAGTCGTACAAGTGTTGATATGGCTTCAAACTTTGTGTTCCCCATCCCGTTATAGCTGTGCTTTTTATATAGATTGCTCCTTTGTTTGCTAGGCCTTACTCGTGTAATGCTTATAATTTGTACCGCCCACATATTGTGCATTCTAATCCAAAAAGTTTCGCAAATGTAGAACTAATGCTTAGCCTTTATGATAAAATGAGAATGAAAAAACGGCTAATTTAAATTTCACTCGTAGGGTAGTAAAGTTTATTTTTAGGGCTTAACTAGTTAAAAGAAGGGTTTATAATATATACACGAGATATTAGATTTATACAGGGATGACTTTTATTTTTTAATACTTTTGTAAGGAAAATATCTTCCGATATTAAACACATTTCACAGGGTATTTCCTTTTTCCTAGAATGTTTAGAATATTGCAGTGAGCTAGATAAAATTAAGATTTAATGACTACAAGGGTCAATGTAGGTTGGGTGTTGGCAGTTTTCATGGAATTTCCTTACGTGGTCTTAAAAATAATCATAAATCACCTTCTGTCTTGATTTTAACTTGAAAAATCGTTCTGAAGTAGGTAGTTGTTAGCTTATTCCAAATGCATTTACAGCTCCCTTTATTGTTGTTGGGGATATTAGAACGATTTTGACTCACTCCTGATAAATCAGATGATTCGCACTAATGCATTTCATCATGTCATGACTAATAACTTCTCATTCATTTTTAGTTTTTATGTGATTTGTGGATTTAACAGTTACCGTTGGTTGAAAAGAGTTAGTCCTATCGTCCTCGCCCCAAAATTCAAAAACTTTCTTTACTCGTGCGTTGTATATAAGTCCCAAAACATTTCGACATAAAAACAAAAAAATTGTATTGTAAATGTTGGTGCACTTGGGTGTGATCGTGGTCCCTCGTTGCCCTGGAGTGTTTACAAAATTCCACCGCAGCCGTTTTTAAAGATGGAACTTGTTCTGTTAGCAACTAACGCCAATTGGACCTAGCCCCATGGCTAAAACCAATGTAGAGAAGTTTCTCACCGAGGAGGTATTGCCAAACCAAAAGGCAGCGACCACTTCCAATCCATATAACTATGAACAAGCCTCGACAAGCAGGGATGCACTGGAGAGCAGGTCCTCGGTGGCTTCCGCCTCCGCGCCCTACGCCTGCATCTGCTGCGAGGGCAAGTGCCCGTTGCCCAAGGACTACCTTGAGACCCAGTCGGAATTGGAAGGAGATCTTCCGCTATTAGTTAACTCGCCTTCGATGGCGCGTGATTCCAAAGACACAGTCACCGTCAAAATTGTAGCACCGCCATGCAATTGTGCCAACTGTCCGCTGAGAAACCTCTGTAAGTGTGTTTGGCCCTTATCGAAATGCTTTGGCTATGCTAATTGTGACCCGATTCTCCATTATCAACTGACAACCGACTTGAAGACTACTGGCTACCGGCGCGTTTTATTTAATTGTGTCTTCATGTCGCGCTTGTCGAGCAGTAGTCGGGAACACTTTATCCAGCAAGTGTTTACCATTTGCCAGGACTCATATGGCGATTTTAACGACAACTTTGACTTCATAGGTAGTTTCGAAAATCTTCAAGTTTTCATGTGAACTTCAGAGTAGTTTCGACTCAGTTTCAAATGGCAAATGCACATTTCTTCATTCCTACTCAAGAAAATAGGTTATTTTAGTCCTTTTATAAAAGTAATAAATAAGTAAGGAAATTTGAACTTTGACTGTAAGATGAGTGGGGCCTTGAACTTCATCAAAGTCTTCTCCCCGCTCCCGTGCAGGTTTGTTATAGGTATTTTTATACAACAGCTGGCAGGCCATTGTCGACTCATTAAAAGGCTTTTTGTCGGTGTATTAATAAATTATTTAGAATACAATTTCAAAGTAAAATGGTTTAATTTGTATGAGAAAAGCTCAGTCTATCCTTGTTAGCTGAGGCATGCGAATCTTTGTCCTTCGCACGAACTTCATTAGTAATTTAAAACTTTCAGTAAATTCAAAATTATATCTTTAATTTTTACAGATGATCCGCTTTTCTCGGAGATTGTGGCGAAGGCGGAAGGAGCCATCGAGCATGGTGTGCTGCCGGAACGAATTTATCAGGGTAGCAGCGGTTCCTATTTCGTCAAGGATGCCTCCCATGTGAGTATATTTTAATGACTGATATATATTCTAGCTTCTCTTGCGCATGCTAAAAGTTTAGTCATTAAGATCTGTAACTACAACTTGTATCAATTTTCACTAATTCGCGCAAAGATCAATTAATCGGGAAATCGGGGAAGTCCTGCAATCATGTTGCCTTTGCGGAACTTTTGGTTTATCTCTGAAACACTTTTATTAATCTTGGATAGCTTATCGATTATATAAGACCCAATTTCTAGACATTTACTTGTTTTTCCTAAGCACTGTCTGGCTGTATTCAAGCCCAAGGATGAGGAACCCTATGGCAGACTGAATCCAAAATGGACCAAATGGATGCACAAACTGTGCTGCCCCTGCTGTTTCGGCCGTGCTTGTTTGATTCCCAATCAGGGGTAAGATAATATTTATTTACATCAAAACTAGTCACTTATGGACATTTTTGTATACATTGCAGATACCTTTCCGAATCAGGTGCCAGTTTGGTTGATCGAAAGCTTAACTTGGGCGTGGTTCCAAAGACACGTGTGGTCAGGCTCGTGGCTGAGAGCTTTAACTATGCCCGCATCGATCGCCAGAAGGCCAAGCTGAAGAAGCGTATTAAGGAGCACTATCCATCGGCTCATTTCAACCGAATGAGCCTTCCTCTAAAGGTAAACATAACTTTTTAAAATAAATCAAAAAGATACAATTACAATACATTCGGAACTCTCTGCAGACTGGATCCTTTCAGCTCTTCGTAGAGGGCTACAAGGATGCCGACTACTGGCTGCGCCGCTTTGACAGCGAACCTTTGCCGCCGTCGGTGGCCAAGTCCTTTCAGCTGCAGTTCGAGCGCCTTGTCGTCCTGGATTATATTATTCGTAACACTGACCGCGGTAATGACAATTGGCTGATAAAGTACGTTGCCCCGAAGATAAAGAGCCAGGTGCTCGGCACGGGTGGCCAAACAATGCACGGTGTTGTTCGTCCCAAACTGCCCAACGCTTTGGGAGTTTCAGAAATCGTTGATCTGAACGAGTCGCAGGGGAATAAGAATCTAAACGCCAAAGATACTGGCCCCAAAAGCAATCCGGCTGGCGGAGCAGCCACAAATGGACAGCAGGACAGCAGCAGCTTTGCGAGTAGCGAGGATGAGCCTTCCTCCAGAACCCCTTCTTCTGAACCCGATTGGAATGTGGTTAATTCGGCTTTCATTCGGATCGCTGCCATCGACAATGGTCTCGCTTTTCCCTTTAAGCATCCGGATTCTTGGCGAGCTTATCCCTACCATTGGGCATGGTTGCCACAAGCAAAAATTCCATTTAGTGATGAAATCAAAGATCACGTGCTGCCGCAGTTGTCAGATATGAATTTTGTAGAGGAGATTTGCACGGAACTGTTGTACCTGTTCCAGCAGGATCGTGGCTTTGACAAGCGTCTGTTTGAGCGCCAGATGTCTGTGATGCGGGGCCAAATTCTTAATCTCACCCAAGCCCTTAGGGATGGCAAGTCGCCGGTGCAATTGGTTCAGATGCCAGCGGTCATTGTGGAGAGGTAAGTACACCGTCGCTTAATAATTATATGGTCTACTTAATAATGCGTTCGTTTCTGTTTCATAGATCAAGTGGCAGTCGTTTCTTTTCATTTACACAGCGCTTCCAAAACAAAAGCCCTTTCTTCTCTTGGTGGTAAATTCTTGAATTCATGATCGTCCTATTTAATTATTTACTAGCTTCGTTATTTTCAGCTAAATTTCTATGGAGGAGCCCTTGCTAACCCCACCAAAAACCAAATCGTGCAGACCGGTCCTGCCGCCTCATCATAGTCATGTATATGCGCTTCGTTGTTGTCTAGTGTAATTCTAAATCGTAATTATTTGCAGTCGGGAAATGTATTTCTTTTTATATTTTTCTTTTGGCCAAAAAAACATGCAATAATTTTATACTTTAATTACGAGTTTAGCTTACCATGGTTATGTATATGTAGGAATTAACTTTTGTTTGTCAAGTGTTTGTATAGGTCATTTCAAACAGCCAACGCTCAAGCGATTTATACTTGTACTTTCTTTATTCTTAAATTATACATAGAGCATATCAGTGAAGTAATCAAAACTCATTTACATTCGTTAGCACTCATTGCATACTGTTATCTTACTGAAGGATGCCCATTGTTATTTGTATTAACATCTATTTAATGGTTTCCCTATCAAAACTATAAGTTATGTTAGCTTATTAGGGTGTATTCCCACACCCAAACTAATTGAGTTTAAGGAGGAAGGCAGCCAAACAATCTAGAAATATACATAAATCAAGCAAAAATACATTTGTATAGTATTCATAATATTTGTATGTCAAAGGCAAGCCTTATATTTTAACATCAAAATATTATTATTATAACAGTTAAGGAGAAACTACAAATCTTTATGATCCATCTATATTCTTGAGCTTGTTATTTAATAACGAAGTATCTAAAAACAATTAGCGGCCTCATTTAAACTATGATCTATTCACATTTAATCAATGTTAAGCTTTAATTGAATCACTATAAAAGCCAATCGTCGGAAGCGTCCGACGTCAGTCTACTAACTACAACTGCCTTGCAAAGGCTACTATTGGCATTGACGTGCTGCTCCTTTTTCTCGACAACAATAACGGATCTATTACTTAACGAAACTTCTTTTCTCTCGGGACCTTGTGACTCCTCCGCTATTTGTACTTCGTTTTTAACGTCTATTTCAATATCATAAAAAATTTCCGATTCCAGTCCTTTGTTTATAATAGTTGTTTCAGAACATCGGCCAGAATCCGGTCGCAAAGGTTCGTTTTTAACCACTATATTAAAATCATGTTTGAGGTTATCATCTTCTACCCCATCCCTAATCCCATTGGAAGTTAACTCTTCATCTGGGCTTAATATCATTGCAGTCTCCGAACTCATTTTTGGAACAACACGTTGTGGCGTTGCCAGAAAAGACGATATCGATGGCTGATATCCAGTACTCAGCATAGATGCCCGACCTTCGTATTTGTACCACTGGGTAGGCACTTTTCCAGTGACAAAGAGATCACGACCTACAGGAACGGTGCTTATGACTCGCTTGGGCTTGAGGAAGCGAACGAACCGCTCCAACTCCTTGTAGCTAGAGTGTTCCGAGTACTCAATTCCTATCGTGCTGATTCGCTTTCCGTAGGAAGGCTTACTGTTTTTCTCCCACCCGCTGGGTCTTATGCCTAGCAACATGTCATAACGTTCGTCAAAAAGACTAAAATACTCTACCAGGCTCTGAAACAAAAGAGTAAAGAGTAATATTAAAGATTAAAGCTAGATTTTTTTTTTAAAGATAACTTTATATGTTTTCAAGTTGGAATGTCCCCAAATATTTTGATAAATTATTCATTACCATTACTACATACCGGATAACTGACTTTTCCCATGGAAAGAACATGCAAGTTTGCTTCGCTGGGATCGTCAGTGAGAACGGATTGTAGATCTGGACAATTCAGGCATTTGATTGCAGCGCTGCGATTTTTCTCCGTCCAAACTCTCATGGTGAACTCCTTTGCCACGGCGAGCCAGATCTTTTCCTTGCCTATCACATACGAGCCGCAGACGATAAGGATTCTCTTGTCCGGATTTTTCTCTATAAAGGCGCGCACTAAATTCGTTGCTTGGTCTATGCTCTCGCTCTGGTGGCAGAAATCGTAGTTTTTGTTTAGGTACGTCGTGTCTAGATAAAGCAGATCGATGTTGGCATGGTTCCAGAATATAGGCAAGGATTCCATTTCAGCGCTAGCCCTAAAATCTCCGGTGTGCAGGATGCATTCACCAGAATTTAGTTTAAAGAAAAACATCACAGCTCCAGGGCAGCTGGAAGTTAAAACAGAAAGTTTGCTAGGCTGAAAGTAGGAAAAAGGCATTGCTCTTACTGGTTAGCTTCTAAGGCTGTAACTTCCACATTATCCACCGTAACAACCTGGTCCACGTCAATCTCGTTGATATACAACTCATCAATTTTAATAAAGGTTCTTACTAGTCTCGCAGTTGTGGGACTCATAAATAGGGGATAGCAAAACTTTTTTGTCAGACCAATGTAGTGATCCGCATGATAGTGAGTGAGGAAGTAATGCGTGACTCCATCTATATCGCCAAATTGAAAGCCATCGACGCAGAAAGATGTTCCCTCAATGATTTTGTAAGGAGGGCATGGCTTTGGCTTCCTTTGTTTGCGACTAGTGGATTTTTTGGACAGGGGACTTTCTATTGAATCCATTGATGATTTTGAAGTGGTCTCCACTCCAGATCCAATGATTTCAGAGGCTTTCACACCAGCACCTCTACTGAGCTTGGCTTTTGTTATTACCACTGTCTTTGGACTGCTAATGCTAGCTACTGGCGTGGGAGACGTTTCCGCTTCCTCTTTGATGACGTGCTCTTCCTCGGAGCATAGATCAATCACCTCGAGATTGGAGAGACTCGTGTTTTCCTTGCCTTTTGCTTGACGACTAGGCTGTATGCGCTTCACTGGCGGATTGTGATCCACCGTGTCTGTAGACGCGGCGGATGTTGTGGTAGACTCATCGAACAGACGCTTGCGTCCTCTGGAAGAGCCCTTTCGCTTTGGTAGGGGTTGATCCTCTGCTTTAAAGCTTGACTGTGGTTCCTTGTTTACTTTGTAGTTCTTAGCAGCGCTTTTGAAGAAGGTATCGATGCGCATTTGACCTGGCAGCGGAGTCTTCTTATTTGAACGCTTAATCACAGTGTTGGCAATGATTAGACCAGGAGCAGTTTTTGCTTGGCCTTTTTTTGTGGTGGTAGCCGCACGAGTTCTCCCCTCCCTTTTCTTCTCAGGCGTTTTATTGTCGATGTTGGCCTGCGGTTCTGGTTCCACATTTATAGCTGTGGTGGCCTGCATTTCTGCAAATGCCTTTATCTTAATCTTTCCCACATTGGACATTTTGTTTACAATATCCTCCCCTGATATCGATTACAAATAAGGTAGCGATAACAATTAGAATCTGGATGCTCTTTGGCTAAAGATGTTTCTCACTTGTTTCCTCACTTTGTTTCCTAACACAATCTTCATCAGATTAAATAAGACTGAGTGCGTAATCCAAATCGGGTGATCTAATTAAGCAAATGCAAGAAACCCCGTTTATTGTACCTGCATAGTTGGGTGAGATTAAATCGATAAGTAAACTAAGCTCAATAGTTGCCAGCTTGCGTCCACTTACTCGGTTCCCCTTTCTTTATTGTTTGGTATCTCTCTATAAATCCACCAAAGTTTAGATAATGATCGATTTTGTTATCATTAATGATAAATGGGGATCAATTTCGGGTAATACTTATATTGGTGAGTTATCACTTTACCACATACATATATGTACATACATAGGTGATAAGTCAAGTCTACGATTTTTTAATGAAAAATCAAGTATTATGAAAATTTTGGCCTTTAGTAAAAAGGCCAAATCTAGAAAATAAAGATAATAAAAAGTACAGTATATTTGTGAGCAAAGGGAATATACAATTTTAGCTTAAAAAATACTGTTCCTCTTTTTACTTGTCAAACATTGTTCAGTTTTAGAAAAATATATTTTCTTTGAGCAGACAATTTCAGAAAAAAATATATTGAGGGTTTTATAAGTAAAACATGATTATATATAGCTTTTATACCAAGTTTCTTTTATCCAATTACCCCCCTAATTTTTAGTGTCGCCTTTTTGTACAAGTTTACATGTTTATTAATTTTTCAAATAGTGATTTTTATTTCGTGTGACCATACCCATAACAAATCCATTGTAAAATATGGTATTACCACTACTATCCATCTACACGTCTGGTAACATCAAAACGAAAACAAAACAAAGTCAGAACGTTGAAAAAAAAGGAATTTATTTTTGGGATTATAAAGCTGGGCCTGTTCGTCCGCGCCTTCAGCATGGCGTGGCGTTCTGTGGGGGCCAATAATGAGGACCTCATTCGTCAACTAAAGGGTAAGCCTTGCATCTATTTTGCATATGAAGAGTTATTAATAAGATCAAAATCTTTAAGATCACGGAGTCATTGCCAGTGATGCGGTGGCCAAGGCAATGAAAGAAACCGACCGCAAGCACTATTCACCAAGAAACCCTTACACGGACGCCCCCCAACCCATCGGAGGTGGTGTCACCATCAGTGCTCCACATATGGTAACTTTGAAATTCGGGATTGGAATTTGTTCAACTAGACTTATAAATCTTTAAATTCATTAGGCGCTTTGCATAAGTTTTTGAATTTGATTGATAGTATTTAAGCCTACTTGGGTTTTATCCAAATGTTCAAAGTGTATTTAAATTTAAGGGTTGAATCGTAAACCATGTATATTTCATAAGTAATATGAAATACAAATTACCCAAGTGTCTATAAAATTGTATTATTCTCTATCCTAGTCCTCGGCATAATGAAAATTACATATTGGAAATCTTAACTATAAAAAATAAAAAAAAACGGTTGGAAAAAATTATACAAAAATAATTCTAATATCCTCGCTTAATTCGACTTTACCCATCCTTATGTGTATGAGTTAGTTCATTCTTGAACCGTTTAGAAAACCTGAAGGTTTGGATTCTACATATTTTCACATTTTAAATAACTTATTTCTCTCTATTAACTTAGCACGCCTTTGCCTTGGAGTACCTTCGCGAACACTTAAAGCCTGGTGCACACGTACTGGATGTAGGCTCTGGATCTGGATACCTTACAGCCTGCTTTTATCGGTACATAATGGCTAAGGGTGCAGATGCGGAGACCCGTATCGTAGGCATAGAGCACCAAGCGGAGCTGGTGCGGCTTAGCAAAGCCAACTTGAATACTGATGACCGAAGCATGCTTGACTCCGGCCAGTTGCTGATCGTCGAAGGCGACGGCAGAAAGGGATACCCTGCAAGTTCTCCCTACAACGCTATCCATGTGGGTGCTGCTGCTCCGGATACGCCCACCGAATTGATAAACCAACTGGCCAACGGCGGGCGCCTTATAGTTCCTGTTGGCCCTGACGGCGGCTCCCAGTACATGCAACAGGTGTCTATAAACTATTAACTATTATTAAATAGTAACTAATTCTTATCGAATTCCACAGTACGACAAGGATGAAGATGGGAAGGTGCAAATGACACGTCTTATGGGCGTGATGTACGTTCCCCTCACTGACCTGAAGTCCTGACTGCATCGAGTTGGAAGGTTTATGTTTGTTGTGGTGCTTTTTGGCTTTATTATATACCAAATTTGGGCGTACTATCGCTAGTATTAAGTATCCAATATGAATTAAACTGCTTGTTTTCAATTAAATAAGTTTCCTGAACATACATTCAAAAAGTCTGTTTGTCAAAATTTGTGTTTTTAGCTAATGATAAAAATACTATGATTAGGCTGGGTTGGGATCAAATTTGACAAATGAAATTGCCATTGACAAATTATGCATATGCACATGCTTTGATATGTTTACAGAATTACATATTATATTTGATTTTAAAACACTATGAGGCAAACACTAGTTTACATGACCAACATTTAAATCTAGACATCAAAATTATTGAAATTAAAATAGGTCAAAAAAATTTAGTATATTTCGTTAGGTGAAAAAAGAGTAATATTTTGTTACAATCAGGTCTATATTGTAATTAAAAAATTTTAAATTTTAAATGTAAATGTTTAAAAGCTATAATTAACAAATAATATTATCAATCATTTTTAATTATTGCAGCATACATTTCCTTCTCATAACTAATGGTATACCGAATTAGCATTATCAGCACTTAAGAGGAAAGAATAAAAGAAATGTATTCGTAAAGATGTTTTTTTTTTTATAAAATTACAGTACATTTTTTTGGACAACGCATTTAAACTTTTAATTTGGAACAAACATTTTTGGTTTCACCCGTTTCACTTGACATTAATGTCAAAGTCAAACTTATGTCGGCTAAGGAAATTTTAAAGCATTAGTATAAAAAAAGGTCTCGACGTGAGTTGAGCATCCGTTCTCCCAGCGGTCTAAAATAAACAAAAAAAAAAAAGTTTTATATCGCGATTTAAAAAAAAAAAACTGAAAGAAATTTAATAAATTTAGAAACACATGCCAGGATTTCTTTAGACGAGATAAGGATGCTGCATATACAGGGACCCTACGAAATTGGCGCGGTATAATATCATTTAAATTTAATTTAATTTTAGGATTATGAAGTGCTTACCCACACACATTACTCCATGTAAACCTATCTTAAGGTTATTGGATAATTTAATCTTAAGTTTAATGGTTAGTCACGTAATATTCCATTTAGTTAATATTTTAACACTTTAATAGATTGCTTTCATTTAATAAATGGAAACTTAATATTATGTTTTTATTGGGAGGCAAATTGCTACTCTGGTGTATTGTGGCATGCTGTGCTGACATCTGACATTTAAAAATTAAAAAAAAGGCATATATATAACATTTTATCATCGAGTATTAATATTATTCTGTATTTTCAAAAAATCCGATTGGCGGGATTTCGTGACGACCCTGTCTGACCGGTAATTGCGCCTATCGACCAGTGCCATCTCTAGTGCCGAAATCGGGCAGTTTGAAAACAAAAAGAGAACTGAAATGAAAGCCCTTGGCAATGAAGTGCACCCGAATATTGAAAGTAAAAAGACCCTTTCGTTGAGTTCATTGTCCGCAATATTTTTGCACAGCACGGGTCAGCAGTTGAGTCCAGATGCTGCGCAGTGGCTTTCACTCAATATAAAGGAAGACTTTACCAATTTGCTGAACGAGGCGGGCAAATATATGCGTCGCATCCGTGAGCACCGGTTGAGTCTGTCGCACATTCAGCAAGCTGTCCGTATGGACGACGACCTGCGCATGGACATTTTTTTCAGGTTGGTCCTTAGCGATGATTGCTCAAGGCTTTCAGCCGAAGAGTTGCCCAGCCTCACAAGCGGAGCTCTTATCGTTGAACCTGGACCAAAACAATTTGTTTCCGTGCAGGCTTCTGAAGTAGAGATTTCACTGGAACCAGCTCGGTCGCACTCCGGCTGGTTGAAGCACGAGCAGGTGCTGCTAAAGCCCTGTAAGCGCTATCCGTTGACTAAGGAGCAGCAGTTCTTTTATGAACTGGTTACGGATGCCTGCGTAGGCGTTTCCGAGTCCAGGCGCCAGAGGGCACTCCAAACCCTCTCCACAGATCCCTCGCTGGAGGTTCTACTGCCCACGTTGAGCGAGTTCGTCGCGGACACCGTAATCTTCAATGTGACCGAGCAGAACATGCCGTTGCTTCTATACCTAATGCGCATTGTGAGAGCTCTTTTAGGAAACCCCCGGTTGAACTTGTTGCAATATGTGAGTATTAGGCAAACATGAATATAATCAGCTGAAGAATGCGTCTGTTGGATTTGTAGCTCCACTTTATAGTACCGGCCGTTCTATCCTGCCTATTAACCAAACAGGCCTGCTCATCCCTTCGCTTAATGGATCACTGGTCTTTGAGGGAATACTCCGGCAACATAATGGCCTATATCGTGCGTCACTTTAAAGCCTCCGACAACAATCTCCTGCCCAGAGTTATTGGGCAAGTACATGGAACATGCGTGGGTTATTCGATATTATATATATTTTTTAGGTTAAAATGATTTTCTACAGGCTTTCTTATTTACTTATTTTCTTATAGTCAATGGTATGTGTCATAATTTTTAGAGGATAGATCCTCACTATTGCCACGTTTACGGTGCTTCATCATGATGGAGCCACATAAAAAGTGTAATCAATTTTACCTACGAAAGTTTCTGCCTTATGGTTTAAAAAAATATCAGAAGTTGTTCTTTTTTTTCAAAAAGTGTTTGGTAATTTTTTTATGTTTTATATATATTTACAAAGCGTTATTGTTTGACACAGATAGAACATACATAAATAAACAATGTGATAAAGGCGTTCACCTATAGTTCGAATTCTACTACTGGGGTTCCTCATCCGTTTTGCTTATGTTTAAAAATATCTTGGGTTTCTTTGAGCTTTTTGATGCTTTTTAAGATAACTTCTTAGATTCTATTTGATCTTAAAATTAAAAAGTTTAACAGTTAATTGCTTAAATAATTTTATTTTTTGCAGGACTTACAGACAGGGTCTACAAAAGCAGCCACTGACGACGGTGTTTGGAGCAGTCATTGGCCTGGGGAAGATGGGCAATGATGCGGTACGCGCCTGTATAGTTCCTCAAATAGCTTATCTATCCGAACTTCTCGAGCCTTACTTGACTGCCAGTGATGACAGCTCCAGCGCCAGCTGTAGCCCGGAAAGGCTGGCAGCTAAATACATTCGCCATCGTTTGGTAAAGACGTGCACCCCGGTTCTGAAGAGTATTCACAAAGCGCCAGATCTTCCGGAGCAGTATGAAACTGTATACGGATATCTGGGACCGCTGTTGTGTGCTGCTGTCATAGTAGCCCGAGTAAAGATGGCAGGAGAAGCTCTAGCCAAGGCGGAGGCAGAAGAGGCATACAGATTGCACCAAACCAAAATGCTTGCCGAGCACCAAAATAAGCAAAAAATTCCTAGTAGTGGTATTCGGAATTCAAAAGAAATTTTACAATCTGATCCTCTTATTGCACCTATAAAGGGGCATCCAGTCATACTCGCACCAGGTATATTGTCCAATCCAATGGCTCAGGGTCAAAAGCATGTTCTTATTGCGAAGTTTCCGGATTGCGCGGCGCAGGCTCGGGGGCCTCCAAATAAGAACGGCTCAATCCCGCCAATACCTTTTCCGCCAGCCAGTAATGGAATACCTTTAAAGTCAAACAAGCTTTGTATTTTGCCACCAATGAGAAACGGATATGTTTCCAAAACATGCATTAATGGCATTAAGCCTATAAACTTTTTACTCAAGTAACAATTTTACCGTAATAAATTCGATTGAATATTTTTCTAGTCTAAGATCGCGAAAAATCTAAAAATCATTTAATTTTGTTAAACAATTACTTTAAGAAATTCAAAGATTAAATGATTCCCTAATGCTTGTATATAAAGTTGTATATGTTTGTTAAAGAAAAAAATATATATTTACAGAGTAGTAACTAACGTTAATAGTAAAATAACAAAATCCTAAGTTGTACGTAGATAAATAAAAGATTAAATATATACTTATATTTGGATAACTTGATAATAAGCTAAACAAGAAACGGCAACCCTAATTAAACTGTTTAAGAAATAAAGAATAAAATTAAATTGCAATTCAATTAAAAGCGTACATAAAAGAATGCTTGATATCTTTGTAAATGTTTAAAGTCACTTACATTGTTTCAAAGTTCGATTTAATTTCAATTGTTACCGGCTGACATCCAGTTGCAGCCCTTGTAAAGCAAACAATCGATATTTGCTTGTTCATCGATAGTGACGAGCAGTAAGCTTGACCACCTTCAGAAAAATGTGCCCCAGGGGTGCATTGAAAATAGCGTATGTGTATTGTTTGTCTGCTCGCTCAATATAGTCCAAAAACGGAAAAACGTAGCTTTGTGATCTCGTGAGTCGTCACTACGATGCCTGCAGAGTCTGAAGCTCCAGCAATTTGATATTGAAAGCGAGGTAAAAGGCAGTTGTAACTCAAAACCAACAACGACAACACAGAACGCCTTGTGTGCGCATTGCGTGTAGATGTGCATGTGCGTCTCGAGAAGCTGCTGAGAGTGTGTGTGTGCGGCAATTAAACAATAAGAATCGTTGGGGCAGGGGTGTGGGGCTGGTTAACTCGCGGGGGGCACTTCAGTACAGTGTCTACTCATGGGCGTGGAACGACACATTTGGGGACCACCCCATTAACGCAAACGAAGCGCGAAATTGGGAGTAAGTTGTCGTAGGTGCATGGACCGGACAGGTGCCTTTGTGGCAGGTGAACTCGTCATTTCAGACTAGCTCCGCCCGTCCTGTAGCTAAATGTATTTCGGAAATTTTGCTATTTGAGCAGTGCGTGGAGCTGAAGATTTCAATGCATTGCATATTTGTTTACATCTGGACTCTCTTACTCTCACATGGAATCCGCACTATTCTCACCATTACACATGCGCCAGTGAATTTTTAATTAGATCATGAATATTACGCGCGCTTGTGCGATTCCAATTAGCTTGGTCAGGATAACAAAATCCAAGTAACACACAGTACACATACACTATACCGATACTTGTGATACTCTTCAAAACCCTTCAAGTTTGTCGAGAAAGAAGTTTACTCACGAAAATATTAAAAAGAAAGGGCCTATACTTATTGGAATTTAGTATTTCCAAGTATTTTCTAAATATTAAACAAACTGACGGATATAGAGACACATGTCGTATAAAAATGTAATTAATGTAAACTGGAATTGTATGAATTATGTGTTATCTTTTAACATTTTACCTTAAAAGATAAAATTGTTCACTAGTTTTTGACTATTTAAGTAACAAAAAACTAAGTATCTAAGTATCGTCTCTTCCTTTCAGCATATTTTCATTCCAGAAAAGAATGGACACAATAAAAAAGTGAAAGGAGGCTCCTAATTACCATGCCCATGTCCATGCAGGCCGTTTCGGTTCCGGTGCCGCCTGCTGTGCCTGCCACCTTATCGGTCAGTTCTTCCGGCACCCAGATGTTGCGCCCCCAGACGTTGGCCGGTCCCGAACGGGAGCCCATCGAATTCAACATCAATCTGGTGGGAGCCCCGCCCGAGGTGGAGCAGCTGGTAGAGCAAATCAAAAGTGTGGCCGAGCAGTTCCTCTACCACTGGAAGAGCTTTCCCATCGGTAAGGTATCGTATAGAATGCAGGGATCAACCATGCTAATCGAGTCTTATTATAGTTCTGCCACAGGCGCTGGCCAGCAGTGGTCTAAATCTGACGGCTAGAAACGCGACCAACAGCGTAAACAACCGCAAAGCGCGTCCCATTAATTTGCGCGACCTCTTTATAGCTCCACCCTTTGACGAGCTGGATGCCGTGGCCTCGGATGGGAGTGGGGAGCCCCGCCGATTGACGAGTGCTCAGCTAAAGACTTTGCGGGAAACTGGGTGAGTTTGCGGACACGAGAAAGAGCTGCTCATTGCGATGATGGATAGATTGATGGATGAGTGGATGGTGGATGACGAATGATGGATGGAGCTACTTGCAATTGTCAGCTAAATAAGCAAAAAGAGCTATTTTGCAGCTAACAGTTAGCTTGCTAACTAACCGCGCTTTTGCCACATCCCACACATCTTTTAGTGATTTATTTCGTTTCTTGATTTCCTTAACCATTGCCAATCATTCCGCCACACTTTGCACCGAGCAATCGCAAAAATCAAATTAAGGCATGCTCTAAATCTTTATAAAAATGAATACGATATCAGCTATCGTGATCTGTTTATTTGTTTCTTAACTAAACAAAACGCATGCCCCAGTACTATTTGTTTTTATTTCTGTTTATCACTTGCCAATGAAACATGAAACCGTATACAACAAATTGTATGTGAAATATTTCTGTAAAGCTTGCAAAAGGATAAATATGGAAAGCCGAAGAAATTAACTTTGGAACAATTGGAAACTATACGTAAAAATGGGTAAATAAACACTATTAAAAAGGCGATAAGCAAAAGCCAAGGCAACCTTCTGTCATGCGTTAAAATCTGTTTAGTCGGTGTTCTTCCGTTTGTACATACATTATCATTACTTAATGTTAATTGTTTAGATTTTAAGACATAATCCAAAACCGCTCTTATAAATTTCTGCATGCTTAAAACCTCTGGGGCACATTTAAAATGTTAAAGGGAAAGCAAAATATTCCGGGAATTGTAATGTGTAAAACTTTTAATTTAATAACGTATAAAAGTGCTGATGTAAAGAGCACTCCTTAAATATTAACTGTGTATTTTAGGAAGCGAGAGATCCCGAGATGCTTACTCCAAAACACACCAGTGTAAACATATAATATCCACCTAAAATCGGGAAAATCATAATTCTTAATCTGGTACACGCTTGTGCATGCCAACAATTTGTCATTGATTTAGTTCATTAACGTGTTTTGTGTTGGCTTGATCTTTTGATACTACAAACCTTGATAGCTAATTCATATCCTTACTACTTCACAGCGTGTTCGATGTTCCCAGTATTCATTTTCCTGGCCAGGTGCACAAGTGGCGTCTCTCCCAACTGCTTCAGAAGGGAAAGTTGCGGGCTCAGGACTCCTTCCTGAGCGACCTGGCCCTGGCTGCTCGGTTCGTCGTAGTCACGGCTCGAGCACGGATCTTTTCGCATTTCTTCTCCGTGGTGCAAGCGATGCACGGGTTGTTAGGGGCGTTTACCAAGTTGGCGGATATGTTTATCGGCGTGCCGGCTCTATTGGCCCATAACTTGGACTACAAGATCAAGGAAGAGCGCTGTCGATTTCTTATAGCCGAACTGGTTTGTCGGGTAAGCTCAGTTATCTTGGTTTCATTTTTATACCCGTTACTCATAGAGTAAAAGGGTATATTAGATTCGTTGAAAAGTATGTAACAGGTAGAAGGAAGCGTTTCTGACTCTTTCTTGATCAGTATCAATAGCGAAGTCGATGTCGATGTCCGTCTGTACGTCCGTCCGTCTGTCACAATGAACGCTGAGATCTCAATAACTAAAACTGATACAAAGTTGAGATTAAGCATATAAAGCAGTAACGGGTATCTTACAGTCGCGGAACTCGACTATAGCATTTCTTTTTGTTCAGCAATAATTAAAATATGTAAAATCATTAAGTTGCTTTGAATCGTTTTTTAAAACTAATTTTGGAATAGGAATAAGTTAAATAGCTGTTAAAATTTAGTAAAACCAAAATAATTTCTTCAGCCCGAGTTTGAGGATTGCTTGGACGGCCTGTGCTCCTATGTCCGAAAGATGTTGCGCCGTGCCACCATGGAAAAGTTCGACTTTAACAGCTGTGAGGTCAGTCAGCCCGTGCCGTACCTATTCCTCACGCCCAAGGGCCAGGAGATCGACTTGCGCCTGTTCTGCCGCGACATCATGCGCAAGGCTTTGCCAATTCTGGTTGGCATTCTGGAGAGGGAGACGCGAGGCTGGTTCCTGCATTTTCGCGAGCGTCTGATTGCCGAACTTCGAGCCAAAAAGTTAAATGACAAGGAAATAGAAGAGGAAGTAAACGAGGCTGTTATGAAGGAATATCTGCAGCGCGTTTATAGCTCTATTGTATCCAATGTAAATCTGGCAGAGCTGGGCGCCGGAGTTCCGGAACTCTTGGTGCAGCAGGCACAGTCTGTGGTAATCATGTATAAGGCTGTTGATAAGGTAGAGCAAAATATCAAGCGCACCCGTGAGGACCATAAGAAGTGTCTAGCCAATGACCATTCCGTGCTCTCAAGGGTTGCACCCTGGTTGCGCTCTAAGCTACGCCACGCCGAGGAAAACCGACTTCATAAGAGCGCTTGGTCGGCCCACGAGGAGGCGCTGAAGATGTGTACCCAGCACAATCTGCATCAAACAGCCTACTTCTTGTCCCGTGACCTGGCGTTTATGAAGGAACGGGAGCCTGTGCTGCTCAAGGAGCTAAAGAACGCTAAGACTCCGACGCGCAGCTTTCAGTGGGCTTGTCGCATTTGGTCACCGCAGTCGTGGATCATCCGTCGCAACTTCCAAGGGCAGTCTGACGTAATTCCCACTGTGATCAGTCAACATGCTACCAGCATTGTCACTCCCCGCTCGGATCCTAGCCAACCTGTGTTCTTGGTGGAAAAGGAGATAATCCGCACAACAAGCACCCGCTGGCCTTTCTGGCGCCTACTAAACATGATCCAGCGTATCTGGTGCTGGTCCTGGAATATGATGTTTCTGCTGGGCATACTAGTACCATGGTGTAGTCCTCTGGGATTGCGTGCCCTCTGCTGCGTGAAGCCTTTCATGCCCGATTTGGAGCTTTCCCAGATCAACGGAACTCTATTTCCAAGGAAGACGAGCATCACACAGACGCTGGCTTCACGTCTAATTGAGTTGTGGCGCCATATATCAAAGTCACGCACGCATTTTGAGACAGAACCGGATACTGGTAAGGTTTAATTACGTATGTTTTAATTGACATTTTTAAAATTATTTTTTTTTATGCTGTTCAAGGCTTTATTGGCAAGGGACTGACACGCAACGTGAATCGAACCTGGAACTATTTTGTAAAGGGATTTCTTGGCACTATTGTCATTTTGTTTGCCTTTCCTCTAATATGTTTGGCCGCCAGTTTGCTGAGCATTAGTCTGGCTGTGACTGCACCTCTATGGATTCCCGTGTTCGTACTTCTGCTCCATATCTACATGATCCTTATATATGATTTGGATGCGCCTGACAATACGAAAAATCGTTACTGCGTTCTACTAGAAGCCATAGTTTGGAATCTTCTGATACAGGGTATACTGCAGCCGGTGGCAGCAGTTCTAATGGCGACTTTAATCTGTCCTCTGGCAGCGGGAATTGTATTTATAGGTACATTGATCTTCTAAATACAAAGAACAATGTCTTAAATAATTTATCATCCGTTAGTTGGAGTTGTTCGGTATTCCCTTCGCCTTATTTGGGACTCGCTCACCTACCATTTGTTTATCAAGAAGTGTGGACGTGTCCCGGCCTCAGATAGTATTGCTGTAAAACGAATCGCTGGACCTGGATTGGCATTGGATTATTACTTTATCATCCGACCAGAGCAGGCTTTGGCTGCACTAGAGGCAAAAATGGAACTAGATGAGCTACAGGCCTATCAGCATGCCACTGAGCGAGTGGTCCTTCAGCCGCAACAGGATTTCCTGCAGTTTGTCGAGGCTTGCTTCGGACCTTTCTCCGCCCAAATCAGTAAAACCGGTCCGTATTTAGCGCTAGACCGCGAGGCGCAAGATTTGATGAGTTCGCTGCATGAGAAGCTGGAGAAGCGACGAAGAGAACTGCAGACGGCTCTGACTACTCAGGTCAAATCGCGCATAAAGTTAAATACCAAAGAATTAAAGGTTTGTGTGCTAAAAACCTTTATTGTAAATTGAAAAATCCTTACTATTATTATATATGATCAGATTGCTATACAACTGGCCGCCCATATTTTAGAGAAGTATTATCCGTCTCATGTCATCGGCAGATTGTCGATTAGCGAAGAAGAATTCTGGGATAATAAAGTAAGAAGCTATTATCAGATCTCGTAACAATGATTAATTCGTTTGCACATTACAGGGTCTCACGGTAAACGATTGGCCAGGATTGGCTGGTCTTATATACACCGACATATTTAGTTTAGATTTTCTAACGCCATTGACTGAGCACGATACACATTTTAAACTAGAACCACATGCCTCGTTAGATTTGATGCGTTATACGGAGATGGTTAAGAATGCAAACGATGTGATTGGCTCCAAGGGCCTGGATCTGCTCGGCAATGTTTACGCTCCACGTGGCAACGTCCAGGTACACCTGCCCTTCCTAGAAGTGACTGCATTCAATCCACGCTCTCGCATAACGCTCACTTTCCGCAAGCCCGAGAAAAGGTAAAACTTATTTAGTATTACTTTTACTGACTGATGATAATAAAATTCCTTGCAGAGATATGTCCGTGGGATTGACTACACCGAGAGTGCGTGCACATCGTGCCCAGAATGTTCCGAAGACTCCACAAGATGACCATAAGTCCTGGCGACCATGGAAGCAAAAATGCGGGGAGAAAAGCGTGACAGAAAAGCTACTTATTCCGTTACCCGTGCCCCATCCTGTACACATCGCCATTGCCATCTACAATCGCGACACCGAGCAGCCCATCCCCTTGGACTCGGAGCTCGTCTGGGAAATCCTTAAATCAATTGAAGACTGTCAAGGCGGTGATGCCATGGTAAGTTTTTGTTGGTAAAAAGAATTTAGTTCATATAAAAATAATTAATTTCCTTGTTTCAGGCTGTCCATGCTGTGGCACGTTATCGAGGAGCAGTAATTGAATCCAGCAACGACTCACTGGCCAGTAGCAGTAGCATTGGCAGCACTCGTGATTCGGGCTCAGGTTCAGTGTCGGGCTCTGCTTTGGGCAACGGTACAGAAACATTACCATGCGGCAATCGAGAGGTAAGTTATATTCATACTCGATAAATATTTCGTATCTAAACTCGATTTTTAAGTACATATTTATCTATATCGTTTCAATGTTTACTTTTTACTAAAAAGCTATTCAAATTGTTTTTATTCAATTATCAAAGTTTAATTCGTACTTAAGTATTAATAAGGAAGATAGTAAAAAGTATGCCCCCTATTATTCTCAGGTTTGCACGCAGGTCAAGGTGGACGCCGAACCAGCTGCCAGCTCGTCCGGATTTCATTGGACTCTAAGCAATTGGGGCGCTGCGCAGACGGCCCGACGTCGAACCAACTCGAATGTGCGCGTGGACTTAGCCAGCCCCGAGGATATATCCCTGGATACGGATAGCTCTCGTGCTGTTTTTAACAACGCTTATGGCACAACTGTCTAACAGGCTTTCGGTGGTTTGTGGGCACACAAGTATATATATTAACCTATCAACACATGTAGATTTATTCGTGGCTGCTCGCTTTTAAGAAAAGAATGCATAACCCGTTTTATCGAATGAAATCTCGAATATGGTCTTAGTGACGCGGCAATTTGGAAGGGAACCGATTGTTCAAAAATAAGTTCGAATCATAATTTAAAAAATACGATTAGAGAAGTTTAGAAATTGTATGTGAGTTGCACAATTGTGAATAATAATGCCACATTTTTTGCAATCAGGGAACAATCCTAAGTATTTGAATTTCATTTCCCTTCTCAATATGAAATCCAAGGCAGCCGCGCTAGTTAAAGTGTAATAAGAACAAATTTATCCATCTAACTATATTTACGTACTCGTATATGATATACATATATGATTCGATAGAATACACCGCATAGGCAAGTCGAAAAGCAACAAATTTCAATCTAGTCGCAAGCAAATTTTATGCAGCAATCTAATTCGATTTCTTATGCAATTTTTAAGAATTTACTAAACTTAGCTTCATGACAGTTTTACAACCGTGTTTAGTTCATTCTAATATCCGTTCTAAATGCCAATACCGAAAAATACTTATCAATTACAACATAAGCCATGAGATTTTTCTTTGTACCTAACCAACAAAAACATTTAAGTTTAACACATTTAAGAAACAAATTATATTATAAATATGCCACAAATTGTACCATGAGCAGTTAAACAAATATTGTTGATTAATAACTAATTTATTTATATACACTCAAACTCTCAGAATACTAAAGTTTTATCTACTCCAGTACTCTTTCTTCCAAAATACGAAAATGCAAAATATTAATTAAAGTGAGAAAAACATATTGTATCGCATATATGTTGGGAAAAACCAATCGAAGTCATAGATAACAACATTAAACAAAGGCAGCGTAAAGGACTTTTACAAAAATAAAATAGGACAAATGATAAAACATTTTTACATTTATATATACATATTTAGATCACATAATCGTAAATTATAACTGTTGATGCCTTTTGTATCTAACACTTTCCAAACCGGCTATTAAGCTCAATTCCAATTCGTATTCGACTCCATCCCCAGAGCAATATGCCCTCCAAGTATTTCTCATACAGAATTATTTTAAATGTGAAAAAAGTGTTGAACTGCCACAAACCTAAGTATTACGTTTTTATTCGATCTGTATCCCTTCGGCAGCTTCCAGTGTTATGTTTAAGCCGTTCAACTGATTTTGTACACTCTCTTTATTATTTTAATGTCGATATGCAAACACCAGCAATGGAATCAATCTTTACATACAAATATACAAACATTTACATAAATATGTAGTTATACAAATTAAACAAAGGAACAACTGAGAACGGTAAATCTCATGAAAATGCATTGAACAATTTTATGTAAAATGTTTTCTTAATATTAAACAAAAATGTAACAATAAATTATGAATGAATGTGTGCTAGCAGCTTTTTAAGTAAAGTTTAGTTGCATGAATTTCGAGAGAAAAATGTAACTTTCGTTCCTTATAAAGTGGCTGGCACAATTGTAGTTTAATATGTAATAATAAAAATGTTGGCTAAAAATCCAGAGATTGTGTATGACTCAATTTAATGGTTGTTGTTAATTCAAGGTATTAATAAAAATCCCAACAACATAATTTGATAGTATTTATTTAAAAGATATATTTCCTTTTACATGTAAAGATATAAAGTTTCACTTAACAATAGTATAGTTTCGCTTAGGGTGTATACTCTAACTGTTAGCTTAGAATGAATGTAACCAACACAACTCGTTTCGAGCACTAAGTAAACCATTCGCAAATGAAAACGGAATCAATATAAAAAAGGGTAATCACAATAATAAGTTTTTTCAAGTAGAAATCTTCTTGCATTGAAACTTATGAACATATATTCATACAGTATTAACAATTAAATAATATATTTAATTTAAAACATCGTAAAACATTTTTGAAAATTGTATTGTGGTCGCTCTGCGAACATTTTTGAGTTAACTACATAGGTCTAGGTTCTAGCTTCAGGTATTACAAAGTTGTCGAGGAGAGGTAAGGTGAATAGATTTCAGGTTGTGAAAAATGCTTAACACGCCCACTAAATAACATGTTAACAGCCCTAAGTTCTCTGAGTGGGTTCACTACATATAACTGTACTCAATTGGTTAAAATTTTAGAATTTCATCCTGAGGGATATTATTTGAGCAAATTTGTTTGTCGTTTTTGGAATTCGAATCTAATACAGAAAGATTATTGGTATTTACTTGGGATTTTCAAACATTTTTGTAGTTTTATGCATCTTGATCACTCCCGCAGTGAATACATTGAGAATGAGTTACGAAGAGGTTTTATGGCGAGTAGTGCCAATACTTTTGGGTTCACATTTACGCGCGTGCACAGGGAATGTTAGCCAAAATTAAGTGTCAACCTAAATTTCCATTCTATTCTAACAGCCTCACTGGAACGGAAGGAGGCTGTGTGCCGTTGTGTTGAGTAATCCCAACCGTTGCTTCTGTTTCCGCTGTTCCGTCATATGGTCCTTAAGTTCATGCAGTTGGGTGGATAGGTTCTTTATGAGCATCTGCGTGTCCAGAAGCTGCGCTTGCATGCTGCGCAACTCAATCTGCTCTCCATCAGCATCCACAGCCGCCAGCGACATGGCGCGCAACCGGGGGAACCACTCTAGGATTCCTGCCTTGACCATGGCATACACATAGCTTTCAGGTCCAGTGAACTCAGTGGGATCCTTCACTTTTACTAGCACTATGAAGTACAGATAGTGCCACATATTGTGCTCACTCTTGATGTGCTCCTCGAAGCTAACTGTCTTGTTGTCAAAGGCCGACCTATTAAGAGAACAGATGAAGCAGGTCGTCTTAAGGATGGCCTCTTTCTGCTGCTTCTCCGATCTCAGATCGGCAAAGGTGTCGATAATGACACCAAATATAAGGTTCAACACAATAATAATCACAATGAAGAAGAAAAGAAGGTCGTAGATTACGCGAGCCACGAACAAACCCTCCTGAAAAAGGATAAATTAATGAGGGTGTTTGAGATTAAAAAATTGATTCTACCTTGCTTGAAGGTGCCCTGAGTATATCGCCAATACCACCGCCATTTCGCAAGCCTTGATTAAGTGTTGTAACTATGCACATGACTAGCGAGTCGCAAGACCGTTCCTTTACATCACCGCCACCAGGATTTTGTGGCGCCACATCTTGTCCTGCCGGGCAGTTGCCCAGTTCATCTGGAGCAGGACATGCATTTCCTGATACTGGTACTGATATAGTCAAGGGGACTGTCGGAGAAGATGGATTGTCCTGCTCCTCAAAGTCCACACTAACCAGAAAGTCATCCTTGAAAAACATGTAGCCAATGATTGAGAACAAATAGACCAGGATCAGGGCGAGCACAGCTGTCAAAACAATGGATCGTCCATTGCGCGTCACGGAACGAATTACATTGACCAGCGTCTCCTCCCGGTAGACCACATCAAAGAGCTGAGAAACTTTTTATTAAGGAAACTTCTTTTCTATATAAAAGAATTAACTTTCAACTCACCAGCAATGAATAGAAGAAGGGATGAAAGATCAGGCCACAGAAGCAAAATGCTATGTAAATGCAGTGGTAAAGTAACTGGAAGTCAGTTATAATTTTAATTAGCTGCTTTTCCAGAGTGCCCTTGTTGCCCATTATGCTCACTATGTGAACACTTTTCAGAGTAACCTATATGGACGATACCATTTAATAGTGGTTTTTGGATGTAGACCGTTTTACATACCGTCACTACTCCCAGTAAACAAAGTGTGGACTCCGGTCCTAATAGGAAGATAAAACGTAGGATTACGGACCCGATAAACGTTCTAATCCCAGACTCTCGGGGCAACGTTATCACAATCACAAGTGAGAATATCGTTATAATCCAGAACAACAATGATATATGAGAACTGAGCTCTGAAAAAATCAACAAAGATAAATGTTTAAGACCAGCTTATATGTTACCCAATCGTCTTACCTGGCACAGTGTTATCAAAGGGATAGAAGAAGGCCACGATCATGTTGATAACAACCACACAATTAAAGAGTATATTGCTCCAAAGGGACATGTAACTGCTAATCCAAAATAGTAAAGGTTGACCTAAAATTTTCCAAAAAACAATTAAAAGTACAAATTTTATATTAATACGCCAGTTGCATACTTCTAAGCTTCTTTTGCCACTTCATCTCGTTGAACATTTCCTCTGCTTTGTCAAAGAAATCAGCCACTTTGGATCCCTGGTCGTCCCGTTCTGCGGTGTTCAGGATTTTGATTTTTGTATCTGTGGTCAGGTATTCGCAGATCTCGGGAATGGGAAAAACGATCTGCTCCAAAGTGCGGTCGTTGCGAACAATCTTAAAATATATGTATTAAAATATATAAATAAATATGAATGTATTTAAATAATATTACGATTTGGGTTACCTCAATCTGGGCAGTGTGTGTGGCATAGTACATCAAGGCTTGACTTGTCTTGGCGTCAAAGCTGGCGGACTGAGGGTCCTCAGAAGCCTTAAGCAGGCCGGCCAACTCCTTGTTGTGCTGCGCCAGCTGGTGGCACAAGATGTATATGTTGTGTCCCACCTCTCGCGGACTCACGGTGGCATCATCATCATCCGACCCGGCATCCGGCTCATCTCCATCGTCCTGTTCGTCAATTAGCTCCTCCTGGTGATAGGCTTTGCAGGCCACCTCAACAAGTTGCTTGGGATTCATGTTGTAAAGAATGCGTTCAGCATTCTCACTGTCACCACGGCTCTCCATAATGGCCAAAAGCAGCTTTGAGGCATTGTTCTTTAGCTCTAGAACCAGATCCATGCGGTTTTCTCCCAGTGGATTGATGTTGTTTAGTATGAGTGCCGTAATAATGTCCAATCCATTCGACTCGTGGGTAGCTATGCAGTTCTGGTTCTCGTGACACGGTCCCTGGCAGTACTCTGTGAGGGCCTCCAATGTCTGATTGATCAGGGCAACATTGTGCTCGTTTATGTACAGGCCTAGAAGTCCCAGGCCACCCGTCGTCGAGCCACAAATGCAGTCCAAGAACATCAGCGTCTCCGATACCAGGTTGTTGTTCGTCTTGTTGTTCTGGTTTCTCAGCAGATTCTGCATGTCAGGATTGTGATTTTCGCAGAGCAGCTGTAGAAATCGTAAAATAGGCTGCATCACTAGCACCTTGTTGGACAACTGGTTACGCTGCTCCCGACTGTCCTTGTGCTTTTCCAGCTTCTCGGCCAGAATGTCCTCCAGCGGACTGTTAACACTGATCGCGGAACTTTCTTCGCCGGAGTGGATGTTTCTAGCATTGCCGTACGCCCGTGCAGTCGCCAGTCCAGCATTGTGCAGTTCACGCTTGAGTTCTTCTGTGATAACCACACCGTTGCTCTTAAGGCCATGCTTGCGAGAGATCTTGTCCAGCTCCAGATTGCCATCTTGTTTGTGTTCATGCGCCTTGGCCGCAATATCCGTGGTATTGACTGTTACGGTGGACTTGATCTCCTGTTGAGCATCCTTCATTTTCTCGAAGAACACTTTGAAAAAGGCCTGGTTGAGGTCGTCGCTGAGGAACTTTTGGAACATACCCTTCTGTATAATGGGGTTGCCGCCCTCTAGCAAAGCAATTCCCAACTCTACAGCCTCGACGAATATATTGGGCGAGTGTACTGACTTGATGACCAGTTCAACTACCAGGTCGGAAGCTCCCTCACGGTCCAAATGGTTCTGCATCTCGTGTAGGGTTTTGCCCGCTCGCTGTAAGTACTTAGCCCCTGGTCCGTGAGTCACTAGATGGTGTTGCTTGGCGGGATCCACCAAGGGATTGGTCAACAGCGGCATTTCCTCTTCTGGCAACCTCGTGCTCTTGCTCTGGAAATAGCGCAGCAGAAGCGTCTGGCGCAGTGCATCGCCCTTCTCACCGTAGTTCACATCGATGGCCATCATTTCACGCAGTGTACGCAGGACCTTAACGCACATGCGTTCCTCCTTTTCCTCCAGTAGCTTTTCGGTGTGCTTGATCAGCTTTCGGATGAAACCACCACTTTCGCAGCGCTTTCGGGCCTCAGTTCCGGCGGGGAAGAGTAACTCCGACCGGTACAGAATATCCACAAGAAGTGATAGTTCCGCTTCCACCACAGGCTTTAGTTGATCCTCCAAGAGAGATACGATATCCTGTAAGCCCTCAATGATTGAGCGATCCCAGCGCATTAGACTGGCCGATTGTTGGGCCTCGTACTTGGGCTGCTTAGAGGCCAGCAGCCACTTCGTGGTCTGACGCGTTAGCATTGCTGTCTTGCTGGACATGGTGGCCACCTGCTGTTCCAGCTCGGGGGGCAGTGAGATGCTTCGCATCTTGGCCGACTCAGTCAGTGTACGGATGCAATTCTCCACATTGAAGCGATCCCCCAGCGATAGCCACCGGCACTGGGTCAGCCTGTGGGCAGCCTGAAGCAGCTGAACGAAGATCAGCTGGCGGGACTGCACGATGGCACTCTGATCTGAGAACGGACTGGCAAAGAAGCTACTCAGAAGGTTTGTTACTCCATTCAGGACGTAGGCCTGCAGGGTTTTGTTGCTGGCAGCGGCAGGATTTGAGATAAGCTGATTGATGTCCACCAGAAAGCTCTTCTCGAACAGGTTCCACATGTGTCCGGAGGCGTAGATCTCCTTCATTTCCACCTCCGTGTCAATGTAGCAGTGATTAAGGAAGTCTACGTAAGCCTCCTTCACTTCTGGCATGCAGAGCGGATGGCAGATGATGGTAACTATATCGTCCAGCGAGAGCAGGTTATTGCACTTAATCTCCGTGTAAACGTTCTTGCCCATGGTACAGCAGGCGAGGAGTTTCACCAGCTCTACATGGTACTTCAGGGGGCTGTCGTCGCTTAGCTTCTCCATGCGCAGCATCTGCTGTTGCATCATCTGCACGAAGTGGTTAAAGGAGCCTTTGTCGTTGTAGAAGACCAGCACATCTTCCCCAGAGTTGATGAGCTCCTGCATGACCATGTCCTGGCAGCGGCGGATGAACTGGTTCTCCGCTCGCACTATTGTCTGCAGAAACTGCAGGTAGGCTACGTGACGGCCATGGATCTCAATGCAATGCACGAAGTGTTGCACCACCTTGTCCGTCACCTCATTGCAAAGCGCCAGGTTGTCCTTGAAGATTGCACACACGGTCTTCGCCTCCAGTATCTAAAAAATCAACAAATTCTTCTTAGCTGGAGAAATCGGACAATATCTTAATCTTTCAACAATTAAATTTTGTAATTCAGGCTTTATAGCGGTACGGACATGACATTAGGTTTAAGTCTACTATGGATTCACTATGAACTGCAGTGATATATTTTTTTTAAGCAAAAATACTTATGGTTTTTAAATTGCAATGCATTTTTGAAAAACGATCAATAAAATACAACCTTTTTCCAAGTCACTGCACTTATTTTTGATGCACCTTTATTTCCAGCCTGAAGCAAATTAAAAGTCCTTTTTTTAATTTTTTAATAAATTTATACTGAATTATGTTAAGAGTTTTTAAAGGCATTTTTATTTTTATTGGATTTGCAGAACTCCGTTCCTTTCCGAGTAAAAGTCTGTCAAGTAATTTTTACTCGTTCTTTACTTTAGTAAAGAAAGGAAAACGTACACAGACTGACTTTATTATAGAGTTCTGCATGGAATTCTATATAGAATCAATTCAATTTAAAAATGTACCTTTTGGAATATGTCTTTCATAAAAATAACTATACCTAGAATTCGCCAAAAATAAAAGGTATAAAAACGGTGCCGCGTGGTCAAGAAACTTAAGTTCACTCCTTTACCTCATATTCTTTATAGTTTTAAGAGGCAAAATCCTTTTGAGTAATATTTTAAGCAGTTTCAAAATAATAAGAATTCAATTACTTACTCCTGGATTTAGAAATAGATCGAGGTGGTTGTGCAGCAGGACCTGGTTCTGCTGATTGCCGAGACAGAAGTTCTGAAGAAACTCGTGGGCCAAGCACATAAGCTCCTTCATCAGCTCATCGTCCTTTTCGTCGTAGGGATTCTGGAGAAGATCAAGGACGACGGTGTGGACACCAACGTTGCGAAGCAAGCGCTGCTCGTGCTTTCGCGGCTTGACCACCGAACCCGGACCAGAGGCAGTGACGCAGAACTTGTTCATGCGGATGAGAATCTCCTTGACCTTGCGGTACTCGTTTCGCTGCTCCTGGGACAAGGCAGCATTGTACTCAACGTTGACAGCATCACCTCCGGCATCGGTGGCGCCCAGTTCATCTGTGGCCTTGGCCTTGTAGACCCACAACTCTGATTTCTCTACGCTCTGTCGCAGGATGTCAAGATCGGATTTGATCTGCTTATACGACTCCACGTCGCTGTCCGACACCAGAAGTTGCACCTGAAAACGGAGATGGAGGGCAGATCCAGTTTAGTCTCGAACTGCCGGGTTAACCCGAAGTCTTTCAAAATCATGGGTACATACAAAATCAAAAGTTCGGTCGGTACGATATGCGGTGTAAGTCCACTTTGTTAGTTGTGATTTTTTAAACTAGTTCATGAGTTCAATTGCGTGAATATACGATTACATTAGTATATATGGTATCGGATTAGTAAGGTCGAGTCTCGATTTAGAGAAAGAGATAGAGAGTTAGCGCATGCAAACACAAGAGAAAAGACGAGCATTAGATCATTCAGTGAGTTAGTTGCTATATCTTTATGATATCCACGGCCAGCCGCAGTCTTTACAATGTGCTTAGGTAAATGTTTTAACTCTAAAATTTATGAAAATAAAAACTAAAAAGCACTCTACTCGAGGTAACCTCTGCTCATATCTTAATCCGGTACCGGTAATATTGATTAATTTTGTAATTAAAAACTAAGTTTAATATTAAAAGAGCTACTGTTAGAAATATGAGTTAGATTTGTAATGCGAACTATATTATTTAATTATATGTTGTTGTTAAAACAGAATGCAGCTATCATTACAATGTGCTAGTTAACATCGAAGAACCCTTATAGATAATTAACTAAATAAAAGCTTGCAAGTATTTTATATAAATGAGATAAGGCCATAGCTATCGCTATATATTAATATTATAAATGTTATTATATAAACAATAAAGCTTTATAACTCTTATTTGATAAATGGTTAATGACAGAAAAATAAGTTAACTCCCTATCTCTAGAAACCTACCTGTCTGAAAGCCTGGAGCACTTCCTGGCGCTGGCTAAAGTGCCGGAAGAGTAGGTGCAGGGCGCCAGAGACTAGTGGGGCGTAGTCATGCATTATTAAGTGGAGAAGAACACGCAGAAAAGTGCGTCCGCCCTGGCCATCCAAGTCCAGGTTAGCTGCATCGCTGCGTTCACAGTCGAAGATGCCCTCTGCCTGCACGCCGATGGATTCCAAATCAATGTTCTTCTGACGGGCAGCGGTGGCGGCGGCTGCTGCTGCGGCAGCAGCTGCTACAGACTCAGAATTCTCCAGAGGATCGGTCTCGTTGGTGCTACCCGGCGTCTGCGGTGACTGCGGCTGAGATGGCGGCTGACCCGCTTCACTGCTGGCAGCCGATGCAGCCACCTCGGACTCGTCAAACTCCCGCTTGAATATGGAGAGCAGGCAACTGATCCGATAGTCCAGACGTACGTCCAAAATGAACTGGAGGATCTCAATTATCTTCAGTTTGGTGTCCATCACCAACGGATACTCCTTCATCAGCTGGGAGACGGACTTTCGCTGCTGTAGGGAGATATTGGGAGCAGCTATGGCCTGGCCCACCGATCCCAGGGCCAACGATGTCATCACCGTGTTAATATCACCGATTGAGCGCAGAACCCCGCCTTCGGCTGAAAATTGTGGTATTAATACTGGCTTTGATTAACTTGTCTGGTTAAAACTAAATGCTACAGGACCATTTCGATTAGTCTAAGACTATATAGCATCTTACCCTCTGTGCTGGTCTCCTCTTCGACAGCTTGTTAAGAGAGGAGCGCAGAGTTCAAATTGTTACCATTTTCTAAAAGTTTTCTGTTGGTAAAGTACTTACAGTCAATATCCGTGCTGGCAAAGGCTCCTGATGAGGTGTCGGATACGCAGTCCAGTATGGACAGCAGCGTCTTGGTGAGTCTTAAAAGATCACTGAAGCTGTAGAATCCGAAGTATATTAGATCCCTAGCCAGTTTAACAACCTAAAAATAAAGTTTATATAAAAATGATGTTTCATCCCGAATTGGTCAATAGTCGATGCTACCTCAAAGGTGAGTTTGTTTTGTTCCTGATCTGTGAAGAGCCACACCTTGGTGGCCACATTGCACAGATAGTTCTCCACAAAGGCGATGGTTGTGTTGAACTTGGCCCGACAGGCTTGCTTGTTTTGGTCCGGCTGCTGGTTCTTGCCATCATAGCTGCAACAGGAGGAGGTTAGAACCTCTTAACAAGGATATTCCTAAAGATACTTACTCCATGATCGACATTTTCGAGGGAATCTCACTCCAGAGACGGGCGTACTTTACGGGAGTGACTGGCTCCTGGGGATCGCGATCCACGTGGAGATGCAGCATCAGCCTACAGAATGAAGCTCTCAGCTCGTAGGGCATCGTCTCATCCGACATGCATCTGGGAAAGATTGAAGAATGAATGCTTTGTTCTCTGAACACCAAGATGGACTTACTTCAGAATCAAATCAATATCCAGGCGAGGCGAAAGCTCATTCAAGGCCAGGTACTGTCGGTTGAGGCACATGTTGGAAAACAGATTCAACTGGTGGCGATAGTAGTTCAGGATGGCAGCCTCCAGCTCGCCGGCATCGCAGTTGGCCAAATCAGCCATGGAACGGGAAGTCTGCAAAGAAAACAATGAATCGGAATTCAAAATAGACTAAAGAAAGTTCAACACCCACCGGTTGACCTGTCCATTTCAGATGGATTTCGTATTTGTCCACCGTCGAGAGGCTGCTATCATCTTCATTCAAGCTGGCACTGTCCCAGGTGGTTGTGGTGGACGTGGACTGCACATCGGATCGATCTTCATCGTCGCCGGCTACCTCGGCCAAAGTGGCCAGACACACGTCCTCGGAGGTGCCTTTGTAGCAGCGCGCTGAGCTAGATCCACTCTGCAAAGCCCTCACCTGCGTCTCGATCAGTATGTCCTTGTTCTTGTCGCTTAGCACGCTCTTGCAGATCAGCTCCTGAGTGACAGCGATGGCTTTGCGGTTGGAGACGCACAAGTCGGAGAGGTAGTCTAGAAACCGAGAGTCCCAGTTGTGCATGTTCTTCCGCACCAAGCCGACGAACGTCTCGATCTCTGCGGCGGTGATGTGTTTCTCCAGCAGCTTCCGGTTGTTGTGCAGCAGGGCCGTAATGGTGTCCTCTGCCAGGATATCGTATCCAATCTGCTTCTGCATTAGGCCAAAGTGCTTGGCAATGTACTCCTGATTCTTTCGATAATCCTGCTGCGACAGCCTAAGGATTCGATAGCACAGTCTGAAGATGTTCTTGTACGGACTGTTCTTTGGGTCACTAAGCTCGTCCAACCGCAGAAAAGGACCATCGCCGGCCGTGTGCTCCTGGAAAGGTCCCTGGAGGATCTTGAACAGCTGCTTAAGGATATACTGTTCGCGGAGCAACTTCTGTCGATCTCGTATGGGATTCTTTATAGTGAACTCCAGTGCTTTTGTTTTGTTCTGCTCATTCTCCATTCCGGCGATGAAGTAAACTATATCTTGCAGCAGCGATATCAGAGCTCGCCGCTCGTTGATAGAGATGCTGCCGTTGTCCAGCTTGCTGGTCACCGTGGCCAGAACTTTGCAGGCATCGTTGGCAAAGTCAAGGTCTCGCACCTCCACCGGAGAGACAGGAATCAACGCAAATGCCTCCTTGTCCTCTTTGATGGGCGAGCAGCAAACCATAGACATCACCGGCTTGTCATCGTCGGCATCGATGGGTATTGAGGTGGCGTGGACCCATGTATTGGAGCAAATGTGCTGCAGGCGCACGTAACTCGACTGCGGCACCAGGCTATCCGGCCGAGCCATCGTGGTAGCATCCAGGACAAAGACCGACGCTATGTCCGCAGAGTATGGAACGGAAACTAGACGGTACTGCTTGCCCTTGGGTTTGTCTGAAAAGTTGAGTTTAAGTTAATGGTTGTCAGAGTTAGATGTTAAGTTAGCTGAGGTCACCACTTACCATTTATTGTGGAGTTCATGGTGGAGCAGCTGAGACCTGAGTCCTTGCTGCAGTCTCCCAAATGCAGTTCATGTCCTGATGCGGAGGTGGCGGCTATTCCGCTAGTAGACACATCGACTTCCGCTTCGGCTGCAAGGTAGTGTCCAGTAGCCAGATGCTTAAACCGGTAGAGAGAGTTCCAGTCTCCGGCACCGCCACGGCAGGAGTCGTGCTGAACCACTTCGATCTCCCAGAGTGCCTTGCTGCTGGTGGCAGCGGTGGCGCTGGTTCGTCCAGTGGTGCGCAAGAAGACATGGTACTGCTTCTTATACTCGTCCATGGTGAGGAACTTCTCCTGCTCGGCGTGAAACAGACGCACCACATCGCCACCCTTGAGGATGTGCTCCTGGTTCTCCTTGTGCTCCATGAACAGCGAGATCTTCCACGAGGTGGACGAGTTAAGGACATTGACCTCCTTGCAGCCGGGGTTGTCTGGCAGTTCATAGTTGGCGGCCACATGAAGGTTCTGTTGGTCGGCGTTAACCGGACTGAGGATCACCTTGTCGCCCACCACGACGTAGTCTCCGATGGAGCGGAGCTTGTAGAAGGGCTTGATGTAGAACCAGGAGCCTTCGTTGCCATTGGCGTCTAGGTAGACCCTCATGGCATTCTTCTCCAGCAGCGACGGTAGACGCTTGTTGACCGTCAGATACTTGTTGGACTTCAAATGCAGTAGCTGTACCACAGCCCGTCCATATTGGATTGAGGTTCCCAGAAGCTTTTTGTTCTCAGTCTCATTCTGCTTCTTTTCGATCTCTGCAGCATGCTAAAAATTGTAAAAATTTTAATCGGTTGTTAGTTAGTTATTACTAAAACGGTATTTAATAATATTTTAAACAACAATATTCAGCAGATTAGTTTAAAAAACAACGCTTCTTGTCTCTTATATTTGTACTCACATGCAAACGCTTGAGGAGATTGGGATCCGTATTGGAGCTGGCCGATTGCTTAGCTGCTTTCCAAAATTGCTTCTGGGCGGAGTATCGGTTCATGGGACATATTTTGATGAGACAATCTAAAAGATTATTATTAGTTGGTAATATTAACTATAAAGCAATCTGCTCTCCGGACTTACCCCTGAACTTCTTGGGCGGACAGCTCAGGTCTCCGGCTTCGGGACACACCACAGTGCGATCATCCACCAGGCTGTGAAAATGAATCATAGAGTTACTTGAATATTCAACAACAGGTGGCGCCAGGGGATCCTCCACCTCCGGGTGCCGCAGTCGTTAACATCTCGTTCAGCCTGGACAATGGTACTTACCCGAGTGTGCTTAAGAAGCCGCAAACGCTGCCCTCCGCATACAGGGACACAATGTCCCCCAAGTGCAGGAAGCTCGCCGAGCCAATTATATTGTCGCCCATGTCTGAAGCCTTCTGTGGGTTAGAGCTCGAGGTGAGGATTGGATCTGGGTTGGGGGTGTCGAGTGTGTAGAGTGGCTGCCGCCGGGTGGCGCAACAATGGGCCTCCGCCCGATGCTCCCCACGTGGCTGCTCCCGTTGCTGTTTCTGTTTCTGAGCTGGGAGCTATTGTTCGGGAGGCGCAGTCGGTTACGCGAGTTAATTGCAATGATTTGTCGTCCTCGTTATGTCCTGCGGGGTTTAGCAGAGAGAAAGGGGCCGTGAGTTTGCTTACATCTCAAGGGGCACATCAAGAATGCTCTTTAGGATGATTTTTCCATATCAAAAGGTTCTTTAGTATATATATTCCCAATTCTAGCTTAATATATATTCCAAAAATGAATAAAATGTATACAAAATGTATTTTGCGATTCGCTGCATTTAGGGGAAAATGTTATTGTGCTAATAACGATATGGGAACTGGATTTTATGATTCCTTATTTAGTGGAATACTTGTAATATAATTTGCCGTGGATAATATAATGTATTTAAAAATCGATCTATGCCTCTGTATAAATGATATTTTAGATAACTTATGGCGACTAAAATTAATTTGATTAACACATTCTAAATAGTTTTGTTTTTTGATATTATATGTATGATAAAAAATAAATAAATATAAAATTTTCTTAAATTTAGAAGGTTGTTGAACTTAACAGAAGATTCATGTTTGTCTTTGAAAAGTGACGTTGTTCATTCACGTAGTGACGAAGCTAAGACAGCATAACCCAGAGTTAAATTTTAAAGTAATCAGACTTTGTTCTTTCTTTTCTTTATCTTTTTAGATAAATTAATGAGTTTATTTATCAGCATAGAAATTATATTTAGGATAGCCGCAAATATTTCAGCACTTCCTACTTAGTGGAAGTTTCTTTCTCTGAAATAAAACAGATTGAAATATTACTCTAGTACACTCCTTTTTAGAACACTAGGACTTTTTTATAGTATTTATTGCTAGATAAAATACTTATATAGACAGAAAGTAAAACCAATACCGCCTTAATCCAAAACAATGACCAGCACATTACTTTGCCAACATTACTTTATTGTTTTGGGGATGCGGTTATGGAATGTGAAAAGGACCTGATACCATTTTCAAACCTCAATTTAAGTTTTCTAAATTTCCTGAAACTATTTTTTCAATTTGAAAGACCTATATTAACAAACATAAAATCTAGAATAAGGGAAACCCAAGTGTACACATATTCATTTTAATTCCCTAATTGCTCACTGTGAACTCTGCTTCCATTATGATATAAAAATATCAGGAAACCAACCCAAGGCACATGCAAGGAGAACGTATACTTTTTAGCCTCAGCTGGATATAATAAATTCATGAGCAATCGGTCGACCACCCCGCATTACTCTGTATCGTGCCTTGGGACAGTCTGGCGTATGCTTAATATTTCCACCCTTAGGGAGATACCAAGTTGTCTGTTTAATACTTCCAATAAACATTTCTTCTGGCTGTCCGCATTTAAATGTCCCAAATAAAGTTGTCACTTTTTACGATTCATGTAGGCGACGCTTTAATGCTTTCTATGATTTCTTTCTTTATCATCTGTACATAATGGCTGGCATTGCGAATAGAAAAAAACAAACACATTCATATCCGTATTAGACCACAAGGGAATGAGGCAAATGCTTCCATTGTTTGACAAGTTTCATGGAAGCAAGACATACAAGTTTGAATGGGGATTCTTGTTTGAAGGATTCTTGAAAGTTGTTTAAAGTCCTGAGTCTATGGCAGCTATATTTCTTGCTTATTTCAAAAGATATTTGGCTTAAACAAGTCTTGTGGTCTTCAGTCAAAAGATCCTAACAAATAAACAAAAAATTAGCAACAATTACACTAAGAAGAAGGAACAGACATATTTTCTTTATTAAATTTAAAAATATATTTCGGTTCAGTTTATTTATTTGTTTAATTGCTGGCTAGTCAAACTTATTTTTGGCATATCCGAATGAAAGAGTTATTTATTGGATATTTTGTATTATTGCAATGTATTTGTTTCTGGTGATTAGTTTGGCTTATGGCGAAACAAGGTGGGCATACTAATGAGCTGATTTGGCTGTTTAGCACGGCGGAGAGCTTAAGGGTAGAACCCATTCGATTGATATATACCTCCAGTTAATCAGATTGATTGACATAACAATTACCGAAAACGGTTTCTTGAGCCCCCAAACTTCGGTTAGGCAGAGCTTATGAGCTCAGGAATTCCGCCAGCCGAGAAGGAAATAAGAAATTCATAACTTCTCTCTAGACCAAGCTACTCTGTGGGTCAGGAATTCAGTAAAATCCAGCACAGCACAGCGGCCTGGCAACACCCATCTGCTCAAATATGTTCATCTCGTTAGCAGTGATGGAAGGAAGCAGCTGACTGAAGGCAGGAAACGAGGACCTCTTCCCCCTACAAGGACCCTGGAATTCGGGAGGCAGTGAGGTGCTGTGACATCAACTCAAGCCATCCCTCTCCTTCCAATCAAATGGAACTTAGGGTGCCAAGAGGGGAATTTTCGCGTTTTCCGGAAGACGATTCAATCTGTTTGCTAACATAGCAATTATTTTTTTTATCACAATAAACTGTTGCCTAATCTATGGCCCGCCGTCGACCCACCGCTGTTGGGCAATTAAAGTGGAATTTATTCGTATATAAATTTGGCTAACAAGCGCTTCAATCAAATTAGGCGGTCGAATAACAATAATCCAGCAGTTACCTTAAACAAAATCACACACGAAATGTGGATACACACACAGGCCCTCAGTATCTATGAGTGGGAGCTCAGATATTTTGCCTATTTTTTCGTTTTCGTTTTATTGTGGCGGAAGCTGGCACTGCCAGTGCCCCACGAAGACTTCCCTGGGATCTGTTTTTCCAGGTGTACATTTTCATCTTGTCGGCCAGCCAAGTGGCCAGCAAACACTTACACTCGTTCTTATTGTTTGGCCGCTGTGTAAACACAAAATCTCATCTCACGCGGCCGCGGAACTTTAAAAAATAGCAAACTGGGCTGATAAATTGAAGGGAATTTGGTGGCAAGCACTTCGAAGTTAAATTTGCAGCAGCAGCCCGATTAAATAAAACGGTCTACAAACACCGAGCGCTGGAGCGAAAATGTTGGTCAAAGTTCGCCGCAATCGGCCCGAAAAGCTGGGGCACGAGCTTGCAGAAGCTTTTCCACTTTTCCGCTCTGCCTTTGAGTGGAATTTACACCACTTTCGCTCAAGGCACCCACAACTTTTCTTTTCATTCATAGCATCTGTCAAGCCCGACCCGTACCTCACCCATTCGACATGCCTTACGCATCAGCGCTGCGAATTAGCTGGGTTAGTAGTGCCACTGGCGCTGCCAATGGGACATTAGTCAAACCTTGCTTTGTGCCCCAGCCTGAAAGCCTCTGGCTTTGACTCTCAGCATGAGCATGTGCAGATTTGATTTCACTTTTTACCCTCCTTCCCGGATCTTCGGCTTAATGCGATTCCGCCCACCGGGTCAAGGTCGTCAGTGCGACTTTTTCATGCAGCTTCAACCCAAGTGTGCTCCCTCGATAAGCCTTTGTTTGGGTTTGAATGGAAAAATTCTTTAAAATTCGTTTTAGCCAGATTAGTTTGGTTGTATGGAGATTCGTTCTGGTGAAATTAATGTGTTATTTAGGACGAAAAAATCAGGACAACAAAGCTGCTGCTGAAAGCAGTGTTGCTCACGTTGTAAAGACGGTTGCAAATGTGCAAAGCCCCTCATCTCTGCTCAAAAAAGAAATGTTGCGATTAACGTATGCGAAATTGGGTCTGCAATCCTTATTATTCATTTCTACTCTAGTTTGATAAGAATGAGAATATATATAATGGCTTCTATAAGAAAATTGTGAGATATAACTCAATAATACACATTTTGTCATACAAAATACAATATTTTCCTGATTTACTATGTTTTCAAAGGTTTCATATTGCTGCAGAATCATAAACGCCTAATTGTATATCAAAACGCTTTTCGCTTTGTATTTGAACTTTTCGGCACTATTTGAGATTTGGAATAGATTATCAGTCATCAGTCAGTTGAATTATAAATCAATGGATGCAATGTGCGGCCATTTCCACCTTTTTTTCCTCTTTTATCTTTCAAATTTGGTGGAAAGAGATTTCTGAATTGCCCATTAATACATCTATATGATTCTCAATGTTCTTTAAAATTTCGAAATACTATGTTTGATATTGAAAAGCCAATGAAATTTAAATAAAATGTTTACCTTAGCGTTTTTGAAACAAGTAGGGTGAGATCTAAACAAACCAATTTCTAAGGAATATCTATATAGCGTGGCTCCGGTTACGTAATTTTAATAGTAATTTAAGTTTTATGGTAAATTAAAACTTTTATTATTGCTTAATTAGTCATAAATGTTTTATAGAGTTACTGGTTACATTCTTATAGTCTTTGTAATTCCTTTCCTTCTACCAAATTGTGGACTGACCTAGCCCACCACCAGCACAGTCACATTTCTTGTCTTAGCACACATGCCACATGACTCAGCGAGGATATTAATATTATCGGCCTGTCAAGTCAGGCGATTAAACTAGTCAAGCGGTTACAAAGTGCTCAAAAAGCAATCTGTTAAACAGACTAACCGGTGCGTGAATTAGCATTCGACGGTCAAGCCAATGAAAAAGCTTCGGGCAAGTCGAGTCGGGCAGATCACATGCGTAGGCGTGGGAGAAGCCAAACAAACAAACAAACAACAAAGAGCCACAAGTGGTTGGCATGCAAACAAATGCAGACGTCGACGTTGGCGTAGCAGCAGCAGCGGCAGCACAGACGGCGATGGCAGAGGCGCCAGTCAGCTGACTGGAATCGCGTGCGACTCCAAACAGCTGAGATTAAAGAAAAGAGCGGGAAAACCACGACCCTTTGAGCGGAATTTGTTTACATTCCTGGACGCAGGCGCGGCTCAGTTTGGGGATAGCTTACAAAGCTCCTTCGCAAAGCTTAAAGCCCGAAAGTTAAAGGATTACGAAGATGTTGAGATGGGATTTTCAGTTGTCGAGCATCGTCCAAAGCGCCACGTTGTCCTGCGCAGCCCCGAAAAGGAAAGGAAAAGTGGAAGAGCCAGTCGTCGTGTTAAGCGGGCGTCGAAAAGTAGGCAACACTTGCTCCCGCTGCCTGGCCACAGTGCGTATGGGTGATGTGATGCTGGGCCAGTGAAATACGATATGAAAAGCTCAATCTGGGTGAAAAATGTCAGGCAATCGTTGGCAAAGAACCAAAATTAACGAAAATAGTACAAATTATAAGTTCCACCCAGTTCAAAACACCGAAAATTCCCAGTGAAAACGGAAGAAGAACAAAGGATAAAAAGTTCGTCCTGTGTGCGTGTGATAAAAGTTCCCTCTGTGTGCGTGCGTCTGTGAGAGTCTGTGCGAGTGTGTGTGCGCGCAAAAAGAATAGAGAAAGCAAAGCATCCCGAAGGAGTGGCACACAAAGTGTTTGCATAACTTAACTCGCGATAGCCACCCATCGCCCAACGCTCAACGCCCACCGCCCTTAGCCAATACAATAACTTGATTAAATGCCCTGAAATCAAGGCGGAGCCGAGGGCTGAAGAAATGGATATGCAGAAGGGACATCCGTGGTGGTGATGTAAGGAAATGTGTTTAAGCCGTGCTAAATGCTCACAAAATGACTCCAAATAGTTTGCAGTGTGGCGTTCTGTGATTGAGGCGTGGTCGTGCTTATCCATACCGTCATGGATTCCGTCCAGACAGCCCAGTGTATCGTGTATTCCACCGTCGTTTGTGTCCTGCTCATCATCGTGGGCTTAGTTATATTCCTCTTGGTTGTGTTTGCCTTCGGACCAGCTATCGATGAAATGCAACTCCGAAACATGCAAAAGAGAGTGAACAACACGACCACAGATTCACTTTACAATTTCGACTACGATTGAGATGGAGGGATTTCTTTTCTTTACCTGTTTAGATTTCCACTTAGGAAAATTTTTATTTAGTTTTGTATAACTAAAAGTCAATTTAGGGCTGTATTAAATCAATAATGAATCATTTATAAATCTACTGTCTACATCCGTTAGGAACTATTCAAAACAAAAGAACAAATAAACCAATCGTCCAAAAAAGATTGTCTAGAATTACGTTCCTGAAAACTACAGTTTGGCAAAAAAGAAAAAATCTGGGGTGAACAATATCGAAGTATTTCTTGAATTCTTAGTATACCAAAACCTTTTTTTTATTTTTTTTCAAGCCCGGTTAATTGGTAATCTCTCTTTCTCTAGCCCAAAATCGTTCAAACATACATTCATCAAAAATCCAATGGACAAACGCAAATCTTTTTAAAATCCTTTTCCTTTGTTCGCCTAACCCAAATAGTGGCCAAAGCCCATTGAATTGCTGGGCATTAAGCACTTTGGCAACAATAGACCGATTGGGAAATTCGACTCAGTGAGGCACATCAATGTGCAATGCTTGAAATCATGCACAGAATGGCCCAGTCCTGCCCGGCCCCCACTTTTGCCAATCTCCGGAGCAAGTCCGACTGTCATCAATCCGACGGATTGGGACCCAGTGGAGCGAATCAAAATACGTACATCTGTTTGGCAAGTCGTGTGTGAAAAATGCTTACGAAAATTGCCTACAAGGATGCTGCAAAGTACACAAAATATTAAATGTGAATTGCCAACAATGGGCCAGGGAAGTCGCAACACTTTAGCAGATTCGGCAGTCGCCAGGCGGAGGACGGACATCCTTGACTTGGTTATTGGCTTAGATGGGTTTCCCGGCTAAGCCGCACACAAAGGCTGCACCACATGAATAAATGGGAAAGGGGAAAATGGAAAGTGGAAAAGGGAAAAGGGACCAAAAGGTTAAAGCAACAGGGCGTGGATGAGAACGACTGAGGCGACAAAGTTCGGTTCAAAGTTTCGGGGGCTTTTTATTGAAGCTTTTGTCTGCGGTCGGCTCCTTGGGGACCTGTCCTGGCTGCCGGATCGCACATAAAACAATTCCCGTTTACGGAGGCCAAATTAAATTATCTCAAATTGGCCGGGGGGAGAAATTACTCAGGCATCCGCCCAGCGACCTGATCGATATTCTCCCAATTGAGCTTTAACCGCTTTACGGCAGAGTCAAACAATCTGAACCCCTTCTGCGGTTTCATACTCATTGATAACTATTTAAAACTGCTACCTGTGTGTCGGTAGAACTCGCAAGCTCAAATTCGAAAGCCGCTCCAAGTATTTCAATAAGACATCATCAAATGCGAGCCGCCGTCGAACCAGATGTTCTCATTGTTGTCAGCCTGTCAGTTTGAATTACACTGAAGGCCCTCTCGCCGCCTCCAAACCAGTACCACCCAGTCATCCTGCACTTTCCCCTCTGCACCCACTAACGCCATGCCCTGCCACATTCAATGGAGCTCGCAATCTGCAATCCCCGCACACGCTGCACCAACATCGAAAATTGAATAAAATGCTAGCCATGGCACGTTCGCTATGTTAAATAGTTGAACAAAAACTGTCGAAGAAAATTCTTGAAGAGCAACCAGGAAGTTGAAATACTCTTTAGTAAAAATGCAAATAGAGTTCCTTTTTAAGTTTAATATTTGAGAGGTAATACTTTTGCATTGTGGATTCGGTTTACATTTTTGGCAGTTTTCAAATATGCTACTGAAAATAGTTAAATTTTGGTGTTAAGCGAAAAAAGGCAACCATCTTTCTTGGGATCTTATAGTGCTCTTCTATTTTGCATGGTATTTCTATTTGGGTTTTGCATAAATAAACTTATAAAGAAGTTACACTTATGCAAATACCCTTCCCTTTACACTTGAAGTTCATTAACTGGCATATAAATGGACATGCAAAAATTTGAATATCGAACGAATCGAAGTGTGAAATTCATAAGAAACCTTGTCGAAAGTACGAGCCATGTCTGAATCAGTTAAAAGTAGTTGACATTATATTCAATTCGTTGAACGTGCATTTTCCTATACATGGTTTATGCATTTTCATAAGGGATTTGTTGTAGCCCGCCAAATGAAGAGAGAATAACAGCTTTCCTTTGGGAAATTATGAACGTGGTTCAGCCATCTGAACTTGAGGGATTACGTGGGCTTGAAACTGTTGAATCGCAATCAACTATTTATGGGGGATTAATAGAAAATGAGTGCGGATGGGAATGAGAAATGAAGTGAAAATCATTTAAAAACGAGAAGCGAGGCAAATCAGACGTGATTTTCAGTAATTTGGCTATTTATTAAGGTCTGGGCCCTGTCTGGTCCCTGAAAGCCATTGAAAAGCCAAAGAGATCTCGGCTCGACTGAGCAAAAACATGCAAGCACTCAGGTGCTCACGCAGACACTGACACGCGATGAGAGCACTCTTCCCTCATTCAGTCCGCTTCATTGATAACACCCGACCCCCGGGTGCACTCACTCCCATTAATTGCAGGCAAGTGGGCTTGTGCTTGGGCCTGGGCACTTGCACATCGCATGAGTGTGTGGATGGGGGCTTATATTTTATTTACAACATGAGAACGTCGCTTACACAATTTGCCTATTTATGTTAATTGCTGGCGCCCCCGGGCGCCATCCTCTCTCTCGCTTTCCCCTCATAACTCCACAAAATGCTCAATTCAGCGGCAAATTATGCACATGCTCATGGGCAACACATAAATATGGATGGTAATACGATTGCGGTCAAATTAGTAGGGCTGAGAGTTGGGTGTACACTGTACTCGTATTTACTAAAATCAGTTTTGTCTAATATAAAATCTTCTCTTAGTTGAAGAAACTTAATTAATTTGATATGTTGCCAGTTACAAAATTCCTAGTTTGAGAAATTAAGCATTTTTAAAATTAGATATTAAAGATTAAGAACACACATAAGCTTTTTATAACTACAGCATAAAGATATACTTGAATAAGAAATAAATTTCACATTTTCTTTATCAATTAAATATGAACCTCGACCTTAACTGAATGTTGATATCTGTGATATATATACAGTTCTCAACGAAAACATTCCGATGTACTTCAAATTCTTTACCTTTTAAGAACAATACAAGATTTGGCCTTTAATCACTCTCTATTCTGCATGCTAATACACCATTGAGGTGAATTGTTCAGCAAATTCCGTTTTAAAAATTGTCTAAAGTTTAGTTTAATTACTTTAAATAACAGCCATTAGAAACAAGCGTAATAACAAGGTTAAAATTCTTGATATTTTTATTGCTACGCTCTCAATAGCAAAATATAAGAGTTAGTTTTCTATGTTATTAAACGAACTAATAACATAACAACTTGCCTTGTTTAGCTAATTATCTGATTCGAGTAAAACTCATTGTAGCTATCAATTTGTTCCCCCAATTTTTAAATGTAGTGATTTGTTAGGCTTTTATTATTTAACATTAATGAGAAAATAATTGGTCGTTATCGTATGTTCACAAGTCTTTTAATGTGATCTTTATTACATGTATATTAAAAGGTATTTAAGTGCGTTCTCATGATTGCAAAAAGTGCAATTTGGCGATGAAAAGCCATCGTCGTGCGAAGCAATTAAATGGAAATCATCGCATGCAGCAGGCTTAACTCGTCCCCCTGTTCTCCCCTACACTGAGTAAAACTTCATGAAAACTGACTGCAGGCGAGAAAGTCGCAACAGCCTCCCGAACTGCATTGCCTCTGCCTTCCTGTACCTTCCCAGTCCACAGCAACAATGTGGCGCTTAATTAAGCACGCGTCGGCCCTGTCAGCATCTCTTTCTCTCTCGCTCTGCCTGCAATCAACATTTTTGCACTAAGAGGAAATTGTCATGCATCTTTTCATGTTTTTTTTAAGTTCCAAGTTTAAAAAAAATATACAGAAATATAATCTTTAAACACTTTAAACTTTTGTTTAGTAAATAGAATTTCTTATGTAAATAAATTAATATTTATTTTTTTTACATTTCTGACTGCAAATAACACCTGACCGACAGTTTTCTAGTAATAAATTCTTTGGAAAACACTTTCGATAATTCTATTCAAATTGATATTATAAAACTATCTATCGAAGGTATAACAAATCAAGATTAATCCAGACTTTTTAAAGGCAAATACTCAATGACTAACATATGCATGATTATAACTTTTGGGAAAGTGTTCCTAAAACTATGTAAAAACAAACTTACTCAACTGTATTTATTTAACATAAATTTGTTTTATCGAAAACCATTGAATCATATGATTAATTATGTGGAATATGGTTTTATGATGAGTACAAATATTCTCTTATCTTGAAAGTATTAAAAAGTGCCTTTAGCTGAGAGATCACTTTGAAATTATCTCTATAAGAACCCTCTACTTTTCTTTTTGTGTAATAAACAAATGATTGCAGATGGCTTCGTTACGCCGCTGATATTGCATTGTAATTGAATCAGTGAGGTTTTCCGTTGTCTTCGCTTTGATTTACTTTCAATTATGCAGCAAAAGCAAATCAAAGCAGAGGCAAACGGACTTCTAGGGAGGGCGTGACTGCTAGATAATAGCTATCTGGGTAATTAGCCGGGGTTCAGGCGATAGGCTTATTGTCTTATGACCTACTTAAATCGGCGGCAAGCCCTTTGGGAAACCAGAAAAACCAGTAAAGAGTCCGATTGGCAACAGGTTGATTCGCTACGTACTTACCGCTGAGCGCCGCTGGTAATGGGTATCCGAAAAGGTAGCACTACTCGCGATTGAATCATCCGCCGATGGACGGCGATAGTAAATCGAATTTGACTTTATATTTATTTTATTCAAATGCAAACACTCGAAAGAACTTAATATATTTTCACCTTGAGTGCGCGCACTTAGCCGCAGAAAAGAGAATAACAATAAGTGGAAGGAAGGGAAAACGACGAAGGAGGCACAAACCGCACACAATAACAATAACAATAGCAATGCCGGGGCAGCGACGGCGGCAAAGGCACCTCAGCCGGCAGAGGCTGGCTTGTCAATAAGACTCAGCCGTAAAAAACACGCGACAAACAATTCCGGTTAAGAGAAAGAGAGGCAAGATGCGAAACAACGTCAACAATTGGCTTTCCCGCCCCCGCGATCCCGTTAACCACCCTCGGCAGCGCAGTCGCAGCGCAGCAGCAACGTAAGGCAAACAAAACGCGCAACACGATTGTCGATTTCTTCGCACTTTTCCAGCCACTTTTTCATTTACACACGCCCACTCGCCCTCCGCACTCAGGCCAATAAATTGACCATCATTTCGGCGATAAATTAGCTCGAACCGTATGAAAATGCAATTTTCCAGGGCGCCGCGTCATGCACGAAGTCGTGTACCGCTCCTCCGTCTCCCTCTCTCCAACGAAGTGCCAGCGCAGCGCAGATAAGACGGACCGACGCGGAAAAACGGCAGCGAAAACACGTCCGACTGTAATCGCGGCCGGGCAACAAGTGTTAGAAAGCAATTGCGCCATATGATCGATTAATGTGACCGTAAAAACATACTAAATAAAAATGTGCAGTATGTAGACATATATTAAATCTTTTAAGTTACGTTAATTATACTTAATAAATTATTAAACTTATCTTACGCAATCGATGACAACCTATAAAATGCTGGGGACAAGTTTAAGAAAGTTAGGTGCTCTATTAGAGTGGTCTTAGGAATATACTAATTTGAAGTTAATAGAAACCTTTCAAAGCCTTCTTCACAAAAAATGATATGTCTTACTTATAGCTTGCGTTGCCGATAACCCCTATGAGTTGGAGGAACAATAAGTTAGAAAACAGAACCTTCATATGATCAAATGGTGTGACCGTATTCACTAAACAACGTTATATTTAAAATTTTTTTTAAAATAATTCCTTAAATAGTAAAAACATTAATAACATGTTTTTTTATCATAGTATAACTTGGCCTTAAAGTATACCGCAAATACGTACTTTCCAAAAAAACGACAGTCACCTTGATCTGATGATCTCTTACACATTAGTTTTTCTCGCGATCTGGCATCATCGAAACAACACATAACGCATATTTGAAAAAAATACAAACCATTTTATATAAATATTTAGAAATTTTTGTTTGTTAATGCTCAGTTTATACTGTCAAGAAATTAAAATGAAGGACCAATTACTTTTTATTAAAATGTAATTTTCATAGTTCTTTAAGGAAAGTAAGCATAAATTATTATTTAAACAATAATAACAAGTATAAATTTGTGAATGATTAACGAATTAATTAAAAGTCACGACGACCCTGATAAAAACTGTAATAAGTGTTTTCTTTGTAAAGATGAAAATCAAACAAAAATGATAGAACAATGGCTTGGCTGCCTTAAAAAGATAGTTGATGGCATTAATATTGGTTGTTCATCTTTTGGATTTGCAGAAAATGCTGGATCTTTGGCCGGGAAACCATTGAAATCATCACACAAAGCACACCGTTTCTCCTCCCTTAAAACTAAAGAGCTCTGCAATATGGCTGTTGGCGGTTTTGTTTATTGTTGGCCTTTGTTCGGGCTCGCCATTATTCTGCTGGCAGTACTGGCTCCGCCGATTGACGCCGCCCAGAGGCACACTGCTTCGGATAATCCCTCAACGTACAACATTGGCGGCGTACTGAGCAATTCCGACAGCGAGGAGCACTTTAGCACTACAATAAAGGCAAGCGTTTTTGCTAACTAGATTGGCCATTAATCCAAATGCTATAATATAAAATATACCGCTTCCAATTGATCCCCAGCACCTCAATTTCGATCAGCAATATGTACCACGCAAGGTCACCTACTATGACAAGACTATTCGCATGGACAAGAATCCCATCAAGACGGTTTTCAATGTCTGCGACAAGCTCATCGAGAATCGGGTAAGTCGGTAGCCAAATGCAATTACCTGTTCATTTCCGACCACTTCATCGCACCGCTCTGGGCTGCAAATATGCATACTAATGGCTGTCTGTATGTTCATCCCAGCTTGGTTCGCTTCATTTCAATAATTGTAAGGGAAATTATTCGGAAATGGTTTGATGACAAACGGTAATGCGCTACCAGATTTTAATAACCATAAGTTTTTACTTGGTTAACTTTCGGAATCGCTCGTTCCCAATATTAATTACAATTTCTTTAAGTTTAAGTTTAAAGAAAAATCTATTCGTTTCTGAAAGTTACAGTCAAATAAAAGACCATAAAGTTACTTTTTTGTAACGTACTTTACTTACATTTATCATTCAGGTCTTTTCAGAATCAAACTGGATTCTCATGCAATAAATTACGACTGTCATGAACAAACAAAAAGTGCCGAAAAAATCCTAATGACGAAGAGCCATTCGGCGCTCCAAAGTACAATGCACCTGTCAGTGTGGCACCTCGTTTAAATTTTACTTAAAGCCAAAACACTTTTTGTGGTCAGCTTCAGCCAAATTTCTGACTTATCTGTGGTTTCCATCAATCACATTCCGTGCATTATACCACATTTATCTTGAGCAGTGGGTGGCTGTCCGGACCAGAAGTCCACACCCACTAGACCAGGCCAAATCAATTGGATGGTTGTTTTGGGGCAGAATTTGTCATCATTAATGTTAGGGCGAATTTATCATGTCAGGTCCCAAAATGCGCGTCCATTTCCAACCTTTCATTACCCAAAGGAAGCAAATAAACTGTCAATGACTCCATTGAATGTCAGTTCTTAACGGTGCGTTTCGTAACTGTAATAAAGATAGTTATATATTATATATAATATTTTTTTCTTATAACATATTTCATATATTTTTAAAGAACTTAAGTATAAACGAACTATATTTATGGCTGACGTTATTTTTGCTCAGCCAATTGAACGTCCTCTTGGCGCCATTTACACTTCCGACCTGGCGAACCACCACCCACCCATCGCCTGGAGCCCTTCCTTTTAGCATCCTCCTTGCATTGCTCATTTCCACTGATTTGGTTTGTTCCCGGCACCCTTCCCCTTCCGCAGGTGTATGCTGTAGTCGTTTCGCATGAGCAAACCTCAGGTGATTTGTCGCCGGCGGCCGTGAGTTACACAAGCGGATTCTATTCAATTCCTGTCATTGGCATATCCTCGCGGGATGCGGCCTTCTCCGACAAGAACATCCACGTCTCCTTCCTGAGGACTGTGCCCCCGTACTACCACCAAGCGGATGTCTGGCTGGAGATGCTCAGCCACTTTGCCTACACGAAGGTACGTTTGATGGCCACCCATCTAGCATCTGCCCCAAAAGTGATGCACCCAAATTTGACTTATTGACTTATTGAGTTGTTCCGTTATCTGCTCCGCTGGCGACAGGTAATCATCATCCATAGCTCCGACACGGATGGCAGAGCCATTCTGGGCCGCTTCCAGACCACATCCCAGACCTACTACGACGACGTGGATGTGCGCGCCACTGTGGAACTGATTGTCGAATTCGAACCCAAGCTGGAGAGCTTTACCGAGCATCTCATCGACATGAAGACGGCCCAGTCCAGGGTTTACCTGATGTACGCCAGGTGAGTGCCTTGAATTTGCGTAAGTAATGCAATCGTAAATGAGTTCGGTTGAGCATGCTGGAGATGATTTTGGTGGTTATCTACAGTGACAGATGGATATGTCATTGATTCTCTTTTAATGTTAAAATATGTAAATCTTAATTCGAGTTTAAAAAGGTCATTATACAGATACTATTCCATTAATAGGTAAACAAATGCTTTAGGATTTCTTAATGATTCAAGGATTCAACAACAGATGGCGCTAATACGCGGAGTAAATGGCGTTATCTGTTGGCCGTTTATTTAGAAATGGTTTTAATGATAGAAACTTGAATCATTTAATTATTTTAAAGCTTTTGGTTTATATATTTATCATAGACTGGGTATATTTTACTGGGTATATATATATCAATATCATTTTATATATATAGTCTTAAATATATGCTAGTGGGGTATCGTAGTCTCAAGACAAAGTGCTTCCCTCCGGGTCTTCCTACAGTCAATTGCCGTCATTTCTCAATAAAGAGTGTTCATGTTTTACTCCGTAAATTAGTTTCAATGGAACAGCGCTATACACAAGATTACTGAGATTGAATTCCATCAGGGGCGAAGCTTTGACTCAGCAACTGGTCGTTTTCGTTTTTTATCAAATTGTGGCAAAGATGCTCTACATATGTCAATTATAACCATTATTAAGATACGGTTTATTGTGTGGGTTATTTTACTTCTTTTAAAGGAAAATAACTGCCATGCAATTTACTGTTAAAAGTTTTCAATTTATGATTAACTTATTGTCGATATATAAAATAGTAAAAGGTGGATAACTTTTATGTAGATGTGCTAGAAAGTAAATGTAGTCTCCTATGTTTTAATCAGACAACTACAATGACCTAAAGCGTAAATAGTTAGTCCTGGACCTTCCAAATTCACCAATATCATACGCACGTTTTATTTCGATCCACAGCACGGAGGACGCCCAAGTAATCTTCCGCGATGCTGGGGAGTACAACATGACCGGAGAAGGACACGTGTGGATTGTGACAGAGCAGGCGCTGTTCGCAGAAAATACTCCGGATGGAGTGCTGGGCCTGCAGTTGGAACACGCCCACAGCGACAAGGGGCACATTAGGGTAAGTGGGATTCCTCCGCCTGGAATCTAAAATATGCATGATGTGATTCTCGGCTCCCCCAAACAGGACAGCGTATATGTTCTGGCGTCCGCCATCAAGGAGATGATTTCCAACGAGACCATTGCCGAGGCTCCCAAGGACTGTGGTGACTCGGCTGTTAACTGGGAATCGGGTGGGTACAACTAACCTACATAGGTGATCAAATAAGAACAAGGCTTAAAGAAAATCTTTATTTTTGCAGGCAAGCGGCTGTTCCAGTACCTTAAGAGCCGTAATATCACGGGTGAAACGGGACAAGTGGCATTTGACGACAATGGAGATCGAATCTACGCAGGCTATGATGTGATCAACATTCGGGAGCAGCAGAAGAAGCACGTGGTTGGAAAGTTCAGTTACGACAGCGTAGGTTGCCCTTTTTAATGGAAATCTTAAAATTGACTTAGATATCAGTAATCTATACCACAACTCCTTAAACTATTTTCAGATGCGAGCCAAAATGCGGATGAGGATCAACGACAGCGAGATCATTTGGCCGGGAAAGCAACGACGGAAGCCAGAGGGTATAATGATTCCCACCCATCTGAAGCTGCTGACCATCGAGGAAAAACCTTTCGTCTACGTGCGACGGATGGGCGACGACGAGTTCCGCTGCGAGCCGGACGAGCGTCCTTGTCCGCTGTTCAACAACTCTGATGCCACTGGTGAGTAATCTGTCCAGTAACCACTACTGCCGTTTCTACTTCTAATTTAATTATTTTTTTACAACAAAGAATAGTTGATAGATGATGCTGATAGAAAAACTTATTTATGTTTTAAGAACTTTGCATTCACATTATCTTTTTCCTGTTTCAGCCAACGAATTCTGCTGCCGCGGCTACTGCATTGACCTGCTGATCGAACTGTCCAAGAGGATCAACTTC